ATCTCACATGTAATGTTCTAGAAACAATGATTTAGCACTGGGATGATTTGGGCGCACTGCCAACCATATGTAACATACTGAGCTACTTAGAAGTGCTGTTAAGCAGACATCAGTACCTCAAGCTGACAACAAAAACAGCTACTAATGTCACCCTCAAAAGGGCATTTGGTACATTTTGTGGTTTACAGCTAGACTAATATGAGGTTCTTCAGGCCCAATACATCCAATTTCAGCAAATCATTATTTACTTGCTTTCAAAATACACTTGTTAAGGAAAGTGGCCAGTGGGTCTATTTTCTCTAGCTCAAAGGTGCATCAATGGCACCAAGCTCTTCTCTCACAGCTGCATCAATGGCACCAAGCTCTTCTCTCACACCTGCATCAATGGCACCAAGCTCTTCTCTCACAGCTGCATCAATGGCACCAAGCTCTTCTCTCACACCTGCATCAATGGCACCAAGCTCTTCTCTCACAGCTGCATCAATGGCACCAAGATCTTCTCTCACAGCTGCATCAATGGCACCAAGCTCTTCTCTCACAGCTGCATCAATGGCACCAAGGTATTTTCTCACAGCTGCATCAATGGCACCAAGCTCTTCTCTCACAGCTGCATCAATGGCACCAAGGTATTTTCTCACAGCTGCATCAATGGCACCAAGCTCTTCTCTCACAGCTGCATCAATGGCACCAAGCTCTTCTCTCACACCTGCATCAATGGCACCAAGCTCTTCTCTCACAGCTGCATCAATGGCACCAAGCTCTTCTCTCACAGCTGCATCAATGGCACCAAGGTATTTTCTCACAGCTGCATCAATGGCACCAAGCTCTTCTCTCACAGCTGCATCAATGGCACCAAGCTCTTCTCTCACAGCTGCATCAATGGCACCAAGCTCTTCTCTCACAGCTGCATCAATGGCAACAAGCTCTTCTCTCACAGCTGCATCAATGGCACCAAGCTCTTCTCTCACAGCTGCATCAATGGCACCAAGCTCTTCTCTCACAGCTGCATCAATGGCACCAAGCTCTTCTCTCACACCTGCATCAATGGCACCAAGCTCTTCTCTCACAGCTGCATCAATGGCACCAAGCTCTTTTCCCTCACAGCTGCATCAATGGCACCAAGCTCTTCTCTCACACCTGCATCAATGGCACCAAGCTCTTCTCTCACAGCTGCATCAATGGCACCAAGCTCTTCTCTCACACCTGCATCAATGGCACCAAGCTCTTCTCTCACAGCTGCATCAATGGCACCAAGCTCTTCTCTCACAGCTGCATCAATGGCACCAAGCTCTTCTCTCACAGCTGCATCAATGGCACCAAGGTATTTTCTCACAGCTGCATCAATGGCACCAAGCTCTTCTCTCACAGCTGCATCAATGGCACCAAGCTCTTCTCTCACACCTGCATCAATGTCACCAAGCTCTTCTCTCACAGCTGCATCAATGGCACCAAGCTCTTCTCTCACAGCTGCATCAATGGCACCAAGCTCTTCTCTCACACCTGCATCAATGGCACCAAGCTCTTCTCTCACAGCTGCATCAATGGCACCAAGCTCTTCTCTCACACCTGCATCAATGGCACCAAGCTCTTCTCTCACAGCTGCATCAATGGCACCAAGCTCTTCTCTCACAGCTGCATCAATGGCACCAAGCTCTTCTCTCACAGCTGCATCAATGGCACCAAGCTCTTCTCTCACAGCTGCATCAATGGCACCAAGCTCTTCTCTCACAGCTGCATCAATGGCAACAAGCTCTTCTCTCACAGCTGCATCAATGGCACCAAGCTCTTCTCTCACAGCTGCATCAATGGCACCAAGGTATTTTCTCACACCTGCATCAATGGCACCAAGCTCTTTTCTCACAGTTGCATCAATGGCACCAAGCTCTTCTCTCACAGCTGCATCTATGACATGAACTCTTCTCTCACAGCTGCATCAGTGGCACCAAGCTCTTTTCTCACAGCTGCATCAATGACACCAAGTCTTCTCTCACAGCTGCATAAATACCACAAAGTCTTATCTTATGGCTGCATACATGACACTAAGCTCTTATCTTACAGCTGCATCAATGCTATCAACAGTGTACCAGCTCAAACTTTTCTAAAACTTCAGCTCCACAAAACTGATTACATGTACCCCAAAACTAATTTCCTGATAAACCTGACCAATTATATTTGAACTATATGCATATGATCAAACATATATACATGTGAAATATGTCGGTCTCTGAGGTAATATTTTTAGACTTGACTTGATTGTAACTTCTTCCTCCTCATCCAGTTACCTTCACAAAGTGTTATGGAAGGTATTAGTAATTTTTGTCTGTTTAAAAAAAAAAAAAAAAAAAAACTGCTGTGTAAGTTGGTCCTAACGCTTTTGCTCAGTCTCCGATATTTAAGCTGTGCTGTCCGTTCCACATCTCTGGGAAAGCCATGTTTAGATGTTATTCCTTTGGATAGTCCCTACTTGGCCTAGTTAATGGTATTAGTTCTGTTTGAGCCTGCCCATGACACCCTGACACGGTTATATTTAATTAAAAAATAGCACTTGGAGGAAATATGAAGAGAGAGGGGGGGGGGGGGGGGTGGGGGGGGTGTGGTGGGGGGGGGGGGGGGGGGGGGGGGGGGGGGGGGGGGGGGGGGGGGGGGGGGGGGGGGGGGGGGGTTGTAGGCTTCTGAAGGAACAAATAGTTTTTTTTTTTTTAAAAGTCTTTATGTCATAATTTGCCATTTAGTCTTGCACTGTTGATTTTTTTCATAGGTCCACTGGTTATGTTTTTGTGTACGTGAAGACCTAAATTTAATTCTCAGCTCTGACTGAGGTTTACTGATTACTCAACTACAAACATTCCAACTCCATTTTAAAAAAAAAAATTGTAGTGACCTGTGTCAACGTGTTTTTTTTTTTTTTTTTTAATAATAAAAGTTTTGCCCCTGAGATCTAGGCCTTTTCCCTCCAGGGTTTCCGGGGTAAAAGGGTTAATTCAATAAATAAATTAAAGTATCATTTTTATCAGATGGTCAAATTAGTTATGCTAAACTAAATGACTAATCTTATTCATTAACAGATTTTTTGGTGTTGTTTACAATAAATCACAATAACGGGTTTTTTTAACCACGCTGACTGCCGTTACTATGCACCAGCTGTCAAATTTCAGCATAGCTGAAACCAAAGTAATGTTTAAAAGTAAATTAATAAATCTTAAGAAATATAGTAACACTATACTAACATAGTAATATTTTGCCAATGTAGCATTATTCCGAATGTAAAAATGCTTTACTATTATAGTACCACTGTACCCCAGTATGGTACCACTGTACTTATGATCTAACACTATTACTTTGCAGTTATAATGTTATACTAATGTAACACTACACACCAATAACACTTGTAATGTTACTGCAACTCAAACATCATACTGCAGTTGCAACAACAGACACACACACACAACTTGTGGCCAATCACGATAATCTGCAAGACAATAATACAGCATCTGTTCCACCACACATTCATAAGAATTAATAGAAAGGCTACTCCACCAAAATGCCTCAATAAATCATTGACACCACCAGTTCTCTGAATTATCTTTGCACAACAATGAAGAATAAGAAATGTAAATGTTTCAATCAACAGTGTAGTGGTTAGCGGGATAGTCTGCCAACACGTGGCTGTGGGTTTAATTCCTAGTAGCAGCAGTGTCTACTGTTTATAACTAGTGCAGACCTGAGAGTGACCCAGTCCAAAACTGTATGTACCAGAAATGTAGGGCAGTCAAGGCAGCTGGCAACATAAAAAGTCTCTTCTTTTTTTTCTTTTTAGTGTTCAAAGGCTGTAAACATTAGCAGAAATTTCTGGTTGTTCATCCAGTTCTGGACTTTGTGGTCTTGTTCCAGAATTTGAGTTTTGCGTACACAATCCTTTCACAGATCTGACTTATCTGTATGCAGACTGCTGGTTCCTCGCCTCTCAGGCAGATGCACTCTGACCCTAATTAGTCGCCTTTTAAGACAGGCTTGTCAGAGGGCCCATTCTTCTTTCAATCGAATGGGGCTCTCAAAGCACAAACAGGAAATAATTAATATCCGGATTGCCTGGGAATTAAACCCTACTGTATTTAACTGTATGTGCAGTTGGTCACAGAAAATATGGAGTTAACATCATGTCTTCAATAGGCCAGAATGATATAAGTAAATATGCTCAGATACCACATCAAACCTTAGACTTAGGGTTGCTATTTCTTGGCCAGGTTTGGAAATAAAGAGAAAAACTCTTCGATTAAAAAAAAAAAAAAAACTGCAAAACATGAAAAGAAACATAACAGCATCTATTAATAAGTCTATAAAAACCCAACAGATCTATACGTTGAAAATATATTTTGAAAAGTGAGTTTTCCCACCTCCAGATGAGGCATATAACAAATAGCTGAGGTAAAAATTTCATGATGAGGTATACATGCACTGTGTGTATGTGAGGCTGCATGATTCCTGAGCAGCAAAATGAGGTATTTCTGGTTGTGTTATGTTCAGGCCTGTATGTCAGGTCTCTGTCATCTCCCACCCACATCATGCCATGTGAGGGTGAATAGGGGATGAGAGCGCTGGTGAAAATGCAACCATTTCTTCACCCTCCAACTGCCTGGATAATTTGCTGCCATCATTCAACTGTTGCTGCCCCCCTTCTTCTATGCTGCTGCCGCTGCTGTTGAGCTCTGCGGTTGCTGATGCTGCTGCTACTGCTGCCAATGAACACTGAAAAGGCGGCAGGGTGGGTGAGGAGGAGAGGGGAGGAGGAGATGGTGGTGGTGGAGGTAGATCAGTGTGTGTGATGTTTTGGCGCACACCCCGCAGGTGTGGCCGATTCTGAGGTTTACTGCTGTTGGATACATTTCTGCTCTTGGAACAAGATAGCTGCTGTGAAGATGGCATTGAAGACGATGACTGAGCTGCTGAAGAAGACATTAACAACGGTGGAGGAGGAGGTGGTGGAGGCGGCAATGCATTCTTCACCACCTCTTCTGACTGCACATTAGGTGGCGAAGCGGATGCTGTTGCATCAAAACTCAAGCTGAAGGAATTCTTAGCATCATCACCAGTTGAACTCAAAACCCCACCATGTGATCTGGTCTCACTCCCGTGTCCAGAATCTCGGTCATTACTGGTGCTGTCCTCGACTGTCTTTCCCCTGGTTATTTTCTCATCCCTGACCTCTTTGTCCACCACCTGGTAACGGGGTAAAACCTCACCAATCACAGCTCCTGTGGACCTGTCTATGAAAACTCCCCCAATTTCATCCACTTCCCTTCCTATTTCCCACCCCTGATGATGCCTTCCTAAGCTGCCCTCACCAGGTGAGCTGGCTGGGCTAAGATCATTAGGGTGGATGATATCTTTGCTTCCAAGCATGCCAGCATGCCTGCCCCCCATGCCACTGTCTTGGCTGGAGTTGTCACCCAACAAATCAGCACTTCTGTCAATGTCGTCCAATGAAGACATTGGTATTCTCTCTCCTACAGCATTAGCAAACATGTCGCTCCTCTCAACTGAAGCAAACATTGCTGCCATGAGTCCTTGAAGTTCCTGGTTTAAAAAGAAAAAACATGAAAACAATAAGAAAACCAGAAACAGTGACAAATAATATAGCAACACATGTCTAAATCCTCATATTTGTTATATACCAAACACACATGAAGGAGAGAATTTGAGACAAAGATAAATAAGATGGTGAATAAATGGAGTGAACTGTCTGTCATATTTGGTACAGGAGAGTAAGATTTTGCAATAACTGTGAGAGAGAGAGAGAGAGAGAGAGAGAGAGAGAGAGAGAGAGAGAGAGAGAAGATTAGAGAGAGAGAGAGAGAGAGAGAGAGAGAGAGAGAGAGAGGCGAGAGAGAGAGAGAGAGAGAGGAGAGATTGAGAGAGAGAAGAGAGAGAGAGAGAGAGCGAGAGAGAGAGAGGAGAGAGAGAGAGAGAGATGAGAGAGAGAGGAGAGAGAGAGAGAGAGGAGAGAGAGAGAGAGAGAGAGAGAGAGAGAGAGAGGAGAGAGAAGAGAGAGAGAGAGAGAGAGAGAGAGAGAGAGAGAGAGAGAAGAGAGAGAGAGAGAGAGAGAGAGAGAGAGAGAGAGAGAGAGAGAGAAGAGAGAGAGAGAGAGAGAGAGAGAGAGAGAGAGAGAGAGAGAGAGAGAGAGAGAGAGAGAGAGAGAGACGAGAGAGAGAGAGAGAGAGAGAGAGAGAGAGAGAGAGAGAGAGAGATTGTGCTTTACTAGGGAATAAAAGAAGGAGTAAGAGGAGGAAGAAAAAGTTGAAATTATCTTTGAAAACATCATTGCTGAAATCTACTCAAGATAAGGTAATGCTTGAACATTCTGTTGCTATGACAAACATAAATAATATAAGCACAACACTACAGCAACAGAAACATTGTACATGGTCTGCTCTCCTGTACAGATGCAAATACTAGACCCGAGTGTTTAAACAGACTTGGAGTTAACTGAACAGCCATGGAGAACAGACGGACATATACATCAGGTTGCCTCTAGAATGGGCTGAAAGAGTCATGGGTAAAGGACTGCTTGGGGTTTTTATTCAAAAGTAAAACAGACAGATCAGATGTCATTTTTTAAAATTTCTATCGATCAACAGACTAACACAAAATTGTTGCCATTGTGGGGTTTTCAACTGTTTTTAAATATGAGGTTGGCATCTAAAGCACTTTCCCCACACCCATATTCTAAAACCACCCAGTTGTCAACTGATCACTTAGGCACAACAGAAGCAGAACCAGAGGTTGCCCATGCCAGCAATGGACATAAGGAACATCTAGGTCATGAATACCAGCATTTAAGTAGAACAAACCAATACTTATACCAGATGCCTCTTTAAAACCTGATGCTTGTAAAGCAGAACAGGACCAGAAAACAGCAGCTTATAACTTGAGACACCCCAATCTGATGTCATCATTTCATGAATGAATGCATGTACTGTCTGGTAGTTAAAGAATGCAACTGTGCTAAAGCTTGCCCAGTAAAGATCTTGTTCTTCCTTTTCACCGGCTGTATACTCCGATGGAAAATTCTGGTTGTTCATCCACCTCTGGACTTCAGATCTGTTCCAAAACCTGAGTTTTATATACACACTCATTTTACAGATCTGACTTATTTGTATGCAGACTGTTGGTTCCTCCACTCTGACTTCATCTGAAGCCCCCAAATTAGTCAACTCTTACAACATGCTTGTTTGGGAGGCAGTGGGTCTATTCTTGTTTTCTCCATAAAGGGGCCCTGGTCCAGAAAACATGAATCCTTGTCTTTACACATAGGCAGCTGTATCAACTGAAAGTACTGGGTTCAAATATTCTGTGTCCACAGCTATGACTTCTGTCCTTTGGTGGCAGTCTTTAAAGAATCAACTTGAAAAATATATTGCTCTAAAAAATTGACCCTGGAATTGTAAACGAACCTTTCAGCTAGTGAAACATAACTATTAACAACACAGAAGTTCTCATTACAAATAACATATACACATCAATGTACTGGAAATTTTTAAAAAAAATGGATTCAACGCAGCCTTGATGCTAAGTTAAAATAGGTCTACCTCTGGGGGGGCCCGCGTTAGCGCAGTCGATAAGCGGCTCGCTTTCAAATCTAGCTGCGATTCGCTGCAGCCTGCGGTCAGTGTTTCGAAAACCGGGCGGTTCCCTGGGTTCACCCAGCCTCTAGGAAATGGGTACCAGAGTTGACACACTGGGGTAAATGGAGGAACGTCGCTGTAGCTACAGGGTTTGGTGTGAATGGCGACACAGGCGGACAATTCTTATCAGCTGTCCATACTGGTGGCATAGCACTTATGGTTTATAACCGTGTGCAATGACGCTGGTTCACATCTCCCGACTTTACCTTTTTTATTTTACCTTTATGTCTACCTCAAGTGTAAAAATTGACATCCCAATTACCAAAACTGCAGCCCCATATTTTTATTTAAGAATGCTCCTGTGGGTAAGATTTCCTCTTGTCTTTGACTGGAAGAGCCTAAACAACATTTAAGATATACTCTAATGTTTTAATTTTTATTTTTTAAAACTTAAAATAAAAGATTCTTAAAGGTACACCACATCTGCATGTGCCAGACTCAGGGAGACACATACAGCGAAGATGCTTTATGGTGTTCTTTTCAGTTCAGAGCTTTTATATATAGGTCTGCACATTTTAGCTATGTCTATATTTGTACTGTCATGTTCTGGCCTGCGAGTCTCCCTTAGTAAAAGTGTAATGTAAAAGTGTAATGTTGACAGCCCCTACAGCAAGCTGATCACCAGGCATCAGAAATGGGTTCATGGTGGCAAACCAGCTTTACACTCGATAGCCCACCTCTAGATTTGTAACCAAGAAGATTCGTCAAGAGATGTCATCATTAGGCTGTAATTTACTGCCCATATTTACCCCCTGTTCATCCTGAATGTTTCAAGTTTTCGGAGCTAGCACATCAACTCTCTTTTCTGTGTATTCTGCATGACCCAAACAACAGAGCTACACAAGTTCTAGCAATCGCCAAGTATAGCCCCTAATCTGACATTTATATCTGCTACTCATTCTCTAGAAATACACCTGCATTGGTGCTCTGGCCTGTCCTAGTTATCAACATTGTATCTGCTTGTGACTGCAAAATGTGTGTGTGGGTGGGGGGAGGCATGTGTGCCATATCATAATGACACCAAACATTCCCTTTAGCTTTTAGTAACTGAGGTAAAAGGTCATGACAGGAGTCACCCTATGAATCAGTTTTTAGGACCAAGTGAAAGAAATCATTTTATTCTCTGTTCCACCCAAACTGCCGATTATTCCCCTTTAAATATTTTGAGAAAAAAGTATATTTTTAAAGAAGTTTATTAGTGACCTTTTTTTTTTTTTTTTAGATTTCCTTCACTTTTAAGGGCTATTGGAGTGAATAGGGTTAAGGAAGAATAGAGCTTTGAGCCCACAAAGCCCACAAACAATGAACTGTCTAGTTATAGTAACTGGTTATCTATGTGTTCTATGAAGTACTGTCATTTCTGATTTAATTTAAATGTATCTAGCTATTGTATTATTTTTCACTTCAAATGGAGACAGTTCATCTCAGATGCACACCTGCATCATACAATAGGCATTAAATGTTAGCAATAATAAAGCACATGGATTATCTCTTTATCTTAACTAAATAATCACTAGTAAACATAGTATAGCCAATTTCTTCTCTTTATGTTTTTTTCCCCAAGGGAGTATATAGGTCCTCACCCAAGTGACACTAATTCTTGCTATCCTGTGAAATCACCAACAGTGACTGCCCATGTTTATCAGTATATGACAGTGATGATCACCTCATTCAATAGGACCCTAGAACAAGCTATTTAACAAGGCTATTCAAAGACATCCTTGAACAAGCAAGTTGCACCATCATACAGAGTCATAAACTCTGCAGCACCCCGGACAACAGTAGGAACAAGAAGCCCGCTGATTTGTAACATCAAATATTGCATTAGATGATGCAGCACATTTCTCCCCGCATGTGTCAGTGTTATTTTGCTCTCTTTTTAGACATTTACTTCTACCTGCTAGATTCCATAAACTACAGGAATTTCTCCTGTACAAAAGATACCGACTGCAACAGGAACTGACAGTACTATCAATAAGGAAGGTTTGGAATTGCAATGGAAAGATGCAGAATTCTAAATAATCTTCTGGTGTTGGTGGTGTTCCTGTGGTGTTGGTGGTGTTCCTGTGGTGTTGGTGGTGTTCCTGTGGTGTTGGTGGTGTTACTCTGGTGTTGGTGGTGTTCCTGTGGTGTTGATTGGTTGAGAAGCATTATTTATATGTCATCGCACAGAAAGTTGTCAGGCCCACATTGACACAATTTGTTGAGAAGTATCATTCATATCACTGCTTAGAAAACTTTCCACCTTGTATTGATACAATATGTCGAGAAGTATCATTCATATCACTGCTTAGAAAACTTTCCACCTTGTATTGATACAATATGTCGAGAAGTATCATTCATATCACTGCTTAGAAAACTTTCCACCTTGTATTGATACAATTTGTTGAGAAGTATCATTCATATCACTGCTTAGAAAACTTTCCACCTTGTATTGATACACTTATGTCGAGAAAGGAAGTAGTCTCCCATTCTATCACGGCTTAGAAAACTGTTCCCACATGTTTGATACAATTTGTTGAGAAGTATCATTCATATCACTGCTTAGAAAACTTTCCACCTTGTATTGAAACAATTTGTCGAGAAGAATTGTTTGTCACGGCATGAACAGTTTTGGCATTATAATGTTATAAGCTACTGGATACTAACAAATACGAAGCATCATCATCCATGCCAGACACCAAGGCACTCGAGGAGGATTGAGAGTGTTCTTTTCTTACTTTTTTCTTCGTCTGCAATCATCCTTAACAGAGCAGTTGACACACTAAGTTGCCGTTTACAGCTAGGCTGTGATATTTGCACCTTTCAGTTTATCAATCTGATTTCAGCAACATTTTTCATCCGTCCATTTTTATGACATACTTATCAGGGATAGTGTCTCTTCTTTTGCCCTAACAAAAATGGGATCCAGGATCTGAGTTTGCCATATAATGACCTCACCCTGCACACAGGCTAAAAATACACTTCAGGAAACTACAGCACTTTACCTCAGAGTTATTGCTACTTTTTGAATCGCCGGAGAAATGAGAATGCTGGGCCAGACTAACTGTTTTGTGGTTATCTTTGACCACTCCATTTGGAATGAAACCATTCAGCAAAGGGCCTCCTTTGGAATCTGAATGTTCATTCTCAGGTATCTGATGACAAACAACATAAAAAAAAGTAAATTTCTAACTATCAGGCAATCCAAATTTTGATGTAAAAATTAGGGCTGCACCGAATAGTGATTTTCACTATTCGACCGAATACGAATAGCGGGACCAACTATTCGACCGAATACGAATAGTGTATAAATATATCTATTAAAAAAAGAAAACTCACACATTCATAATATCAAAAGAACGCTGAACTTTTACTCCACATTATGTAGCACATAATAGTTATCTTCTTCTTTAGCATTCTGAGCCCTTGCGGTTTACTGCTGCAGATATCACTCGTCTCCATTCATCTCTCTGGCTGGACTTCTCTTCACAATTTGTGACACCAGTTGTTTGCAGGTCTGGCTGGACATTATCTCTCGAACTTATTTTTTGTATGTTTCGCAGTCTACGCCCATTCCTTTCTCAGGTGTATGCAGTTTTTACTTCTCTGTCATCTGACATTCTTGCAATGTGCCCAAACCATTTTAGTCTGTTAGCTCTCATGATGCCAGTGATCAATGGTGATTTAAACATATTATGTGTTACGTTGTTGCTTTTCACTCTCCATTCCCCACTGTTAGCATCTTTGATGGGTCCTAAGATTTGTCGTAAGACTGTTTTCGGAAACCTGTAATTAGGCCTCATCTCTTTTATTTCTGCTTCAAGTTTTAGAGCCAAATAAAACGACTGGTCTTATCAACGTGTTATATATTTTGTCTTGGTGTTTCAAGGCAGACACTTTGACTTTAGCAGATGTTGAAGGGCATTGTATACTTATACATTGTATACTTTATTTCTAGTTTGTATTCTAGATTGTATTTCTTCTCTAAGCATGTTGGAGCAGTTGAAGTTTGCGCCCAAGTACTTATATGTTTTCATTCGTTTGATTTTCATATTATCGACTTGGATGTGGTCGGAGTTTATATTCTTTCCATGTGTAGTTAGTATTCGTACAGAATAGTAAACATTTAAAAACATTTTTTTTTTTGCATCCTTCAGTCAGTCTGTGGTAACTAATAACTAGGAATGAAAGAATCCTAAGTATTATAACAAGTAACTTAACTTGGAAATTGTAACTGACAGCTTAGTTAATGCATGAAAGCTGCATTAGCTTTCAACAAAACCAATCGTTCCATGTTGTCAGCATTAAGGCCGTGTATGCAAAAGCGGGTGTAAAGTAACTACTATTTATATTCGGCCCGACCGCGACTATTCAGCCGAATACCGAATAGTCCATAGGTCCACTATTCGGCCCCGAAGCGAATACGAAGCGAATATTCGGTACAGCCCTAGTAAAAATTACAACTCACAAAGCAGTATGAATAACACATGCATTCACGTGGATTCGTGGTAGGCTTTCCAAGATCAAACGATTCACTGACAGACTATTATAGGGCTATTCAACTGGCGGCCCCCAGGCCAAATCTGGCCTGCTGAGGCCAAGTAGGTGTCTGGCGGATCACTACCTGTTGTATTGAATTAATGATTTTCCTATGCCGGGGCTAAGGCCTCTGACCCTTGAAGATTCCCGCTTTCAAAAGTTTAGCCCCTGAGTGGACTAGCCCTGGTCTAGGACATCACAGCATGCCATGCTGCCTAGCCTGCCCTGGTTCGGCTACCAGTCAACTGTTAAACTCTTGTGCCTGGTAGCACTAAGTGGAATAGGGAAGGATATAGTTTCATTGCCCAGCCTCTGAGTTGAGTGCATGGTGAGACACTGTGAGCTGCAGATTTCATTTGAACTGTGATAAACATTTTGTGTGTTTTTTGTTGGCACACGAGCGGAGAAACTAAGGGGTGGCCCGTCTGGTTCGAAGCTGAAACTAGGATTACCAGATTACCAAGAACTGTGTTGCATGGAAGTGGGAAACAGAAATGGAATAGGGATAAAGGGGAAAATGACTGCAGATATGTTACAGACTGGGCCTGAGAAGAAGCACCCTAAATACATGTGATCGCAACAACAGCCCTGACATCCAATGCTCTAACTGGAATTACTGATTACTGATTTGAGAATCAAAATCATAGCACACCGGCAATGCCCACAGATGCTCCATCTCCCGCAGCAAATGGTTTTAGGTGTAGATGCTAACTGTGGAAGAGTTTTCTTAACACCAGCTGGTCTTGCTAGTCACACTCACCATCGCCATGGGTGGACTCCCCTGCCTCTACATAGCACAGTGGTTTTCAAACTGAGGGACACAAGGAAGTTTCAAGAAAGGTCTCAAGCAATTCTGAAAATGAGTTCACCTGTACTTACATTAATCTGTTTAACTAATATTTTTTCTGTTGTTTAATTATAAATAAAATATTTGTTAAAACTTATTTATAAATTAAAAGGCCAAGGTCATTATGTTATCTGACACTTGATTTATGCAGATGTTTTTCTCCAAGTTCGTGTTAAAGTGGGAGGTGGAGGTGTGTTATCTCGAGGGTACCCCAGAAACACACAGCGCAACTAGTACACAGACCCAGGCAGCTAGCACACAAACCCAACATGGCAGCTAGCACACAGGCCTAACATGGCAGCTAGCATACAGGCCCAACATGGCAGCTAGCATACAGGCCCAACATGGCAGGTAGCACACAAGCCCAACATGGCAGGTAGCACACAGACCCAACATGGCAGCTAGCACACAGGCCCAACATGGCAGCTAGCACACAGGCCTAACATGGCAGCTAGCACACAGACCCAACATGGCAGCTAGCCCACAGGCTCAATATGGCAGCTAGCACACAGACTCAACATGGCAGCTAGCACAAATAACCAACATGGCAGCTAGCACACAGAAATAACATGGCAGCTAGCACACAGAACCAACATGGCAGCTAGCACACAGAAATAACATGGCAGCTAGCACACAGAACCAACATGGCAGCTAGCACACAGAACCAACATGGCAGCTAGCGCACAGAACCAGCATGGCAGCTAGCACACAGAACCAACATGGCCACCAGCACGCAGGCCCAACATGGCAGCTAGCACACAGAAAAAAAATGACCACCAGCATGCAGGCCCAACATGGCAGCTAACTATGTTGGGTCTGTGTGATCAAAAGAAAAAACAGACAACACTGCATCAGGCACAGAAGCCCAACACAGCACCTAGCACACACAGAGGCCCTACCCATATAGCAGCTAGCACACAGACCCAACTCAGCAGCTAGCACGCAGGCCCAACATGGCCACCAGCACGCAGGCCCAACATGGCAGCTAGCTATGTTGGGTCTGTGTGGTAGAAAACAGACACAACATTGCATCAGGCACAGAAGCCCAACACAGCAGCTAGCACACAGAGGCTTAACATAGCAGCTAGCACACAGAGGCCCTTCCCATATAGCAGCTAGCATACAGACACAACCCAGCAGCTAGCACATAGACCCAACATCATAGCTAGCCCACAGATCCACTTGCAACACATGAAAAACTCTGGTTTATATTTAGTACCGATTCTGATCAAGTGAAGTAAAAAGTGAATCACTCACTGACCTGTTCTAGCATGGGTGTTGACTCGTGCAGGCTCACAGTTTCATGTCTGTAGGCCGTGGGGGTGTTGGCCACTGTGTGGATATGTCCATTACCTGGGACTGGTGATGCATGGCCATTAACACGGTAAATTGGTGAGTTACTTGGTTTATGTGTCTCCTCCCTTGCAGATCTCCTTGAAGCAAATGAGGAATCAAGGCAGTGAATGCTTCAGCATGCTTTCTCGACATGTATTTCAAGGACAACAAGCAATAACCACAGCAATGCATAAACACAAATTAACATGTTTATTAAATCTATAATGTCATTTCAAAGACGTAGTGAGCGCACACACCTATCAAGTTGTCAGCATCGTTATTTGCTCTCAAAAGGGCGGTAGACATGCTGAGTTGTTTATTAGGTAAGGTTTTTCGGTCCAATACACTGGATTTAAGCAAAAATGTTTACGTAAGGTTTGCAATATCAACGTTTTGGCCTAACACAATGTATTTAAGAAAAAACTGTTGGTCATTGAATGTTTGTACAGGTTAAGGTTGTTTTGGCCTAACACAGTGGATTTAAGCAAAAACTGAGTTGGTCAATGTATGTAAGGTTGCAATATCGATTTGTTTTGGCCTAACACAATGGATTTAAGCAAAAACTGGGTTGGTTAATATAATATACAGGTTAAAGTTGCAATATCGACTCCAGTTTGGCACAATACATTGGATTTAAGCAAAAACTGTTTTGATCAGTGTATGTTTATACAGGGTAAGGTTGTGATATCGACACCTTTTAGCCCAATACACTTGATTTCAGCAAAAAAAACTTTTCTGGTCAGTGAACGTTTATATACAGGATAAAGTAGCGATATCGACTCCTTTTGGCCAACACACTGAATTTAAGCAAACAGTGTTTTGGTTAACATATGTTTATTATACAGGGTAAGGTTGTGAAATCCACGCCTTTTAGCAAAAACTGTTTTGATCAATCTATGTAAAAACAGGCTTTGGTTCCTTGAAGTTATATTCCATTATTTGTTTGTGATATGTAAATCAAACCGAATACTACATTTCACAGGGCCAAACGGTCAAAGATTTGAACAGATATGAACTGGGGAGAAACTGTTAGTATTTTATACCTGCCCTAAAAGAAAACACATCTCTTCATTAGGGATTCGAACCTAGGTGCTCTAATTGAGAGCCCACCATTCTCAACTGCTCAGCCAGCCACTTCTAAAGTACCAGAAGAAAAATGAAAACAAGAATACCTGTGACAAAAGTGCCGGACCACCACCACAGCCAGTACAAGACAGATCAGAGCAATCAGGGAGCTGACAATGATTCCTATCTGCACATTTGTCAGCGTGGAGATGACATTGTCATTTGCTGTGCCAGTGACATCAACATTCTCTGTGAAAGTCAGAAGAGAACTTTTATTCACTATAATAAATAAGATGTTTCGATATACAATAAATGATTTCTTTTTACCATTATAAATATTATGATTCTGTGTGCCACAAACAAATGACCTTCTTTTACCACATATTTTCACTGTGCATGTGTTAGTAAACTACCATAACATATATTTTGATTTTGTATACAATATAAAAACTAACAGAACAAGTTTTGATTTTGTTTGCCATCTATCATAACATACACAGTAAAAGTTTGTTAACATGAAGTTGTATAAGAAGAACCACGACCGACTCCGGCTGACGGGCCATGCTGCTGACATCACAGGACCGGGCCAACGAAGCGTTTACGTATCGGCTCTCAAACAAGAAATAAACTATTTTCGACAGTGGCACCCCTGGCATAGGCTCACGGAACCCCAGGCACTTAGTTTAAGAACTGCTGCGTTAGCCCGAGCCGGTGACATCAGCAGCACGGCCTGTCAGCTGCAGCCGGTCGTGGAAGAACACTCAGTTAACATGAACAAACTTGTGTTCCCAGTTGGCATATATTATTGTTATTAGTTCTCAGTTAGCACACTTTAAATAAAAAATAAAACAAAACAAACAACTGGATATGTGGCACTTCTGATGGGTTCCCTCTGCATGTAATTCATGCACGTGTGTGCTACTGGATTGGCTTTGTCAAGTCCGCAGTCAGTTTCAATAAGAGACAGAATATACAGGGCACATTCTGAGAGAAAGAGGACAAAGGATCACTAAAAAAGCAATGAAATGGGAGACAAAAGAATCAAGGAGGAAAGGACATGAAGAGAATTAAAACACTATGACAAATATTGATGAGACAGACCACAGATGCTGGACTATTTTCTTTATACAAACAAAATTAAAAGGACTGCACATGAATGAAAAGAAGTAGTCAAACGGAAGCCTTATAAGACGTCAAAACTGCTCAAGACGATGATGAATACTGTAACCATCCTACAGTTATGCCACACATGATAAAAATAAATTGTTTCACTAACCTTTTGTGGTTTCTGTCACTGAAGAGCAAGATGTTTCAACTAGTGTCTTGCACATGGGTACTGCAGTGACAATGTCTGTATCTGGGCTACGACCTGCCTTGTTGCCAGCTGTCAACTTAAAGAAGTAGCGGCCAGACTCCAAGTCATCAAGCTGAGCAGTAGTCTCAGTTCCTGAACACAGACAGAATTTCAGATTGACACTTTTAACCCACAATCTTGCACTCTTTCCCTTCTTCTTATAGTTTATATCATGAGGTGATGGTAATCATGTCTGTCCCCAGCCTTATTTCTCATGTACTGTTAATCCCTTCTGATACCGATGGTCTTTAATATCATGATTTCAAACTGTCCATCTTCTCCCTTGGCCTATCTCTGCTACTCTTCCCATCCAACAGACATGACATACACTGTCATCAATGAATGTAGAATGTCTACCTATCCTTCTGACACAGGTAGTCAGTTCTCTTCGTGAATTAATTAATTTCAAGATATCTGTCCACCTTTTATCTGTCCACAATACTTTCAACATTCATCTATGCAGCTTCCTTGACCTATTCAACATTTAACTTCTTTAAAACATCTTCCATTATCAGGGTACCTAAGTAGTCAAACACAATGATGTGCATCAGTACTTTGTAACTACCATTACTTCTATCTTTTCACCATTCAAACAGGCCTTTGTATTCTACTGAAAATACTGATATTTTTTAGACTACATCAAAATGGGACTAGGCAGCAAGTACTTCCAGTGTGAAATGCTGTCAAATATGTGTGTGTGTTAAATTGTGACTTTATCATTATCTTTTCTATCCCTCAACCTATACCAATGTTGGATATCTATTTTTACATCTCAGGCAAGTTTCACATGAACTCATCATATCTTCACAGGTTTTTACTTCAACCAATAAATGTTTGGGCAAGTTGAAAACAATGAAGTTAAAACAATAACACTATGAGGCAGAAAGAAAATTATAGTGAAAATTGGGCCAGAGTGTGTCCACGAAGCATCTAGATGTGGGTGCAGAGTTAAGAAACATGGATCACATCAATAGAAACTAACAAATACATGGCAAGTTGTTTGAAACTGAAAGAGTTCCCCCTGTCACCCTGAGAAGCCACAAAACCAACACCTCCAGTTCGGGCCAAATCCCCATAAATTTTTCTTCTCAAACTCGTCTATAGTGACCAGTCTACGAGACATACAGTTGATGCTATCGGCTGTGCTTATGCCTACAAAAAATGTTTATCAGGTCAGGATGATGGAAATATATTAACTTTAACAAAAAAGTTATTGGGGTTGGGGGTCCAACCAACCAAAAGGTTTGTTTAAAGCTAAGCTACAGTCAAAGCTAACGTCTTAGTCTGAACAGCAGAAAAACTGAAGTAGTGGTAATTACAAAAACAAGTGACCCTCTAAAATTCAACATGACAGTAAATGGGACAAACCTCAAGCAAGATGATATGTTTAAGTTCTTGGGTACCCTCATAACATCAGATGGAAGATGTATTTACAAAGTTCAATGTAGAATAGTTCAAGCTGAGGTAGCTCTTTATAAAATGAAGAATATTTCATGGTCAGTCAGTCTTTGTCAATTTAGACAAGGCTGTGAATAGACATGACTACCAACGCCACACGGCAAGGACATCACATTTTCACACAAGCCTCAGTGATAGAATTCTCGGAGTGAAAGGGTTAATGGGGTCAAACAAAACTGTGATATGGTTTTAAAACGATTATAACTTGTATAGCCTACTTACAGCAAGAACAGCTAATATTTTACACCTTTTACACCCCATTTTAATCTACTTACAGCAAGAACAGCTAATATTTTACACCTTTTACACCCCATTTTAATCTAAGACATTAAATTCCTGAATCATTCTTGCACATCTATTGGTTTCTGAGCTTTTCAAGTGCCATAACCTTTAAAAGAAAGAGAGAGAGAGAGACAGAAAGAGGGAGAGGGAGGGAGGGGGGGGGGGAGAGAGGCCTTCTAAGCACTCATCATTCAGACTGCAACTGCATGCTATCAATAATGCATGTTTATATATAAAAATTTACATAATGAAATAATGCATACACAAAAAATACAAATCATACCCACTTCAAATTTACATGTGCACATACACTCTTATATGCTGATACATGCATATACACACGCTCATATATTTGCATATCTGCACTCATGCTCATACATACACATGCCAGCATCCACACTCATGCCTATACATACACTCAAACTAATATATATCTATATATTTACACACACATGCACAATTACCTTTTTACACTGATACATACACAAGCACACACACACACACATGTACTCTCATGCATGTGAGAGAGAGAGGGGAGGGAGAGAGACACACACAAACACACAGAGAAAGAGAGAGAGAGATAGAGACAGAGAGAAAGACAGAAAGAAAGAAAGAAAGAGAGAGGGAGGGAGGGAGGAAGAGACAGATAGAGACAAAGATAAAGAGAGAGAAAGAGAGAGAGAGACAGAAAGAGTCAGGGCGAGACAAAGGGAGAGACAGAGAGAGAGAGACAAACACACACACACACAGAGAGAAACAGAGAGAGACAAACAGAGAGACAGAGACACATACACACACATAGAAAGAGAGAGAGAAAGATACAGAGAGAAAGAGAGAGAGAGAGAGAGAGAGAGAGACACACACAAAAAGAGAGACAGAGAGAGACAGACAGACACACACACAGAGAGAAACAGAGAGAGAGAGAGAGACACACACACTCAGAGACACACACATAGAGAGAGAAAAAGACAGAGAGAGAGGGAGAGAGAGACAGAGAGAGAGAGAGAAAGAGAGAGATTCAGAGAGAGAGACAGAGAGAAAGGGATAGAGAGACAGCGAGAGAGAGAAAGAGACAGGCAGAAAGAGACAGTCACACAGAGAGACACAGAGACATAGAGAGAGACAGAGAGAGAGGTACACAGAGAGAGAAAGAAAGATACAGAGACAGACAGAGAGAAAGAGAGAGAAAGAGAGACAGAGAGAGAGAGGGAGAGAGAGGGGGAGACAGAGAGAGAGAGAGAGAGAGAGAGAGAGAGAGAGAGAGAGAGAGAGAGAGAGAGAGAGAGAGAGAGAGAGAGAGAGAGAGAGAGAGAGAGAGAGAGAGAGAGGTTGTCTTGCCATATACTCAAGGGGGATGTCACCTTTAAAAAGTCTGAGACCACAGTTTTAGAAGACTCACACTAACCAACAAACGTCAAGCTTTCTTAGCAATTAACAGCAAAAGACAAATGTACCAAGCAAAAGGTATCACCAACCTTTCTGAGTAATGCTCTTCCAGTTGACATCCCCAGTTTCTGTACTGTCTTTACCGTACATGATAATGTAATATGTGATCACTCCATTGGGCTTTTCTGGGGGGAGCCATTTGAGCAGCACAGAGTTCTGTTTGACGTTCACTGTCAGGTTCACTGGGGCGGAGGGTCCTGTAAAAGAACAGTCCATTTGAACTTTATATTCTGTTCAGTATTGACAGTAGCCAGACTTTTCCTGAAATGGTTTTGGCTCCCAGGTAAATCCAGTCTTTAATGGGTACCAAGTGAAGTCCTGGGAAGTTACGGTGGCCGGCATGATGTTGACCATATCAGCCCAACGAGTGCCAGTAGGTGTCTAGCCCTATATGCCTGACAGTGTGGAAAATGGTCCTTAACTTAATTTAACATTGGCAGTAATTTATGTTTCCTCTTCTTCCGTTCATCCCCAATAGGTACCTCAGCCAATTCAGGTCACGCCATCCTATCCTTTGCTATTACATGTAGTGCAGGACATCTACTCCAAATTTTTAAAAACTTTGTCAAGTTCCCTTATCTATGCGCCCTAGAGTGTATGTGTGCTTGTGTATGCACATGCATGTGTGTATGAGAGAATGACTGTGTGTGGGCATGGCCTGTCTGTATTCCTTTGAGCCTGTGCGTTCCAGTGCACAGAAAATCTAGTTATACTGTTATCAGGTTTTGCTCTTTGTGTGTCCTATTCAATGCCAGGATCTTTTCCCACACCTCTTGATTCACAGGAATTAGTAGTTCTCTCTCAAAGCTCCACATTAGTGACTCTTATCATACAATTTAAGTCCCTCTATTCTGCGAAGCCACCAGTTAATGAATGTTTGTAGTTTATTATTAATTGTTTCAGTTGTTCCCCATGTTTCAGCTCTAGACAGCAGTAATGATTTGACCTGAAAGCAAAATATTGTAAGTTTTAGTACTATTTGAGTCTTTGATTTCCACCTAAGGGACAAATAGTGTAAGGAAGGGTGTGGCAATCTGGTGAGTTGCACACACATCACTGGTTTGAACTTGTATAGGTTCCAGGTGTCTGCCCAACACTCTGAGCTTGTGAATTACAAACAAGCACCTTACTTTTCTGTGTATAAGATCCCCTCCCCCAAAAAAGGGTGAAAAAATGGGGGGTGGGGGTGGGGTTAATACGATGAACATGTTTAAAATATTTATTTTTCAATGTAGGGCTAAAAGATAGATGTCCATGGGAAACAATTCAGTAACTTCGCTGCTGTTGCAAACTTGACATAATTTATTCGTTGCTGCTGCTATTATTACAATACTTGGAAAATAGCACTGCAGTTTAGCATCATCATACTAAAAGAGTCAAGCATTTTACAACTAACAGATTAATCACCAATTAAAAATTATCACAGGAGTGTGATGTCTGTATTCTATTACTGAATGTTCTTTGTTAGTTTTATTTATAACATTGAACATCAGATGTCAACACGGTCCAATTTATCTAGTAACTAGTACTAACTGGTGCAGGTTGACTATGTTATCTGTTGGGATAGACCAAAGATATTCTGACCGCTTTCCTGGATGTTCATTCCCCAACTGATGACCAGCTGTTCTTTCTTTCAGCTCATTAGCATAATCTTTGTTTTGATGACCAGCTGTTCTTTCTTTCAGCCTATTAGCATAATCTTTGTTCTTGAAAAGCTTAGTTAAATCGCACTGGTCCTATGTGCACTTAGTCTTTAATAGGTCAGTTACTAAAAATAGCAGGGAAAGGGGGGGGGGTGACTGAATGCTCTTTTGAAAGTCAAACTGATGTCAAATGTTCCTGTAAGCCTTAGTGATAGAGGCGGCAGCATAAATCAGAGAGTACATTCTACGTTGTTATTTTCTTCATTTTATTTTTTACGCCGCTGGGAATGCATTATTTCATATTCCCTTTTCAGCCTTTTTATATTTTGGGAAAAAAATTAATCTACAAATCATACATTTAAAAAAATATATATTAGCGACCTCTGTAATGTTTCTTTGGTTTTGTTATGGGAGCAAAATGGTTGAATTAGATATATTTTCCTACAAGAATAATCACCTTGAAAGCAGGACCTATGATAATGCTTAACTATGTACTGTCTTCTCTAAATTGTTATATTTAACCACAGCATACTTTGAAGAAAAAAAATGGCAGGGGCCTTCCACCAACAGCCACTCTCAAGGAGTGTTTGCCTGTTCAAAAACTCATTTTTCACTGTGCTCATTCCTCCCTTGATTATCTACTGAAAAGTATTCAGGAAATGAAATAGTTTATAAAAATAAAATCATTACATTCCTACGAGATGCCAGCACTTACTGTCTTCTGTTGTTTGGACAATGAGATTTTTACTGTCTGCTCTCCTAACTCCATCCATTATTGCTCTCACAACAAACTCATATCTGGTAAAGCTTTCAAGATCAGAAATCGTCAAGGATGTCTCATTGCTGAAAACAAATATATAACTGAGTGAATAAAAAATAATCTTGCATTTAGATTTCAACTAGACAACTGTACTCGCTGTACTGTCGGAAACCATTTCGTTCTCCAGTACTTAATCTATGAATCCAGATTGAACCAACTGTTTGTTGTTGTTGTTGTTGTTATAATGTCAGCTCTTGATAGAAAAATGTACTAACCACTACACTTCCATAGCTCCTACTTCAAAAATGTCCCCATAATAATACCACTCTTGTCAAGTTTGCATTTCAAATTAAGAATTGACACTGCAGTACTAAGGACATTCCCATTAATGCTCTGTCTTCATCTTCAGCAGGCAATGAAGAGTTCCAATTACGATGGTACCAGTAACAGTTCGATTACATATCTGTCCTACCTTTCTTCGTAATATATATATAAAAACATATTTTCCTACATTTACACTTCCAACATATTCTATAAAATCTTATGATTTATAACTTTCAAACATATAAATCACCAAACTTATAACAGAATAATGTAATCAGTTCCTTCTTACAATGCATGCCTTGTGGCATTGGTAGGCATGTAATCCACAATCTTCTGTCTCACGTAATTTCAACCAATTCTGACACCGATGATCTTCCATGCCATGATGTTAAACTGTCCAGCATCTTCTCACTCAGTCTCCATCATTTCCCCACCAGCTATCCCACCACCACGATGTACTTTAGTTTTATCTTTTCATGACTACACCAACACCACAACATCTAGCATGAGAATGGAGGTGGAGGCAGTAACTGCAGCTCATCGGTGGCTAAAGTACAAGATGCACATGACATGTCATAATTGTAACTTACGACTTTGAAAGCATGCTGAAAAATGTGAAGACAAGCATGCTTCGAGCAGAATGGCAAGCTTTACTGGGAAGGTCACGGGTAGTGGGCATACTTATTTTTCCTCCAGGCAAGGCTGGTGTGGTGGGTAATAAACAGGCAGACAGACTGGCTAGATCTGCACTACAAGGTAGTGAATGTGAACTGATAAATGACAAGGCAGACATGGTCACGGTCCTTTGGGAACAAGCAATAGAATCAGTAGAGAAACAAGATTATTTTGGCCAAGGAAGAATGAGGCACCTGGGTGTAACCAGAGGGTCTGGCCGGCTCACTACACTCAGAGAAAAGGCAAGACGGTCATATAACCAGATTGTGACCGGTACCATCAGCACTGAAACTCTGCGCTGGCTGCTGAAGATGAGGATGGAGCACATATGGGAAATCCCAGAGTGCTGTGATGTCAATTCTTGCACTAAACTCAACTCTTCTCATGACATGATCAAAGAATGTAGATTGTCAACAATTTTTGCTACAATTAGTTGTGACGGCCCTAAGATCCTGGTTTAAAATCCGCACTGAAGTGGATTTTTTCAAAACAGTTTATCTTGGTTCCCACATCAACCTAACTAAAACAGAGTCAAAAATAAATTACATGGAAAGTAAGGGTGGCTAGTATGATTTTGATTAGTCACTCATTGTTCTGTGATGCCTTTACACATCCCATAGGGCTTGTAGTTTATTTCTCCATTCCATTCTATCCTGTGCAATCACTTGGCAATCACGGATGAAATCCAGTACCACACCTTTGGCTTCTCTCATCCAGGATGTTCACTACATATATCACCTATTCTCTGCCAACTGGTTGATCTCTCATCCAAGATGTTCACTACACATATCACCTATTTTGTGCCAACTGGTTGATCTCTCATCCAGGATGTTCACTACATATATCACCTATTCTCTGCCAACTGGTTGATCTCTCATCCAAGATGTTCACTACACATATCACCTATTCTGTGCCAACTGGTTGATCTCTCATCCAAGATGTTCACTACATATATCACCTATTCTGTGCCAACTGGTTGATCTCTCATCCAGGATGTTCACTACATATATCACCTATTTTGTGCCAACTGGTCGATCTCTCATTCAGGATGTTCACTACATATTTCACCTATTCTGTGCCAACTGGCTGATCTCGCATCCAGGATGTTCTCTACATATCACCTATTTTGTGCCAACTGGTTGATCTCTCATTCAGGATGTTCAGTACATATTTCACCTATTCTGTGCCAACTGGCTGATCTCGCATCCAGGATGTTTACTACATATATCACCTATTCTGTGCCAAATGGTTGATAAACATTTCGGTCGGGCTCCGTACGCCTGATGCACCACAAAAGCAAAAAAAAGAGTCCTTGACATATGTTTCTTATTGTCTTCATTATTTGATCAGGGGTTATTCTTGTATTGATAATTGTATTCCTTTTGAGTATGAAAAGTATGTTGTATATGTAATACTGGTTGGTTGATGACTCCTCTGGAAGACCTTTTATCTCCAATATCTGGTAGATTTTCATTCAGGGCATTTCTTCTTCTTCATTATTCATCTGTGCGACGTAATTGCATTGTGCCTCTTTACAGCATACCTGGGATATCTGCTGCACCTTTCAGATGACACATCAGAGCATTTGTTCAAAAGATTAACCTTCCCGGATTAGGAGCTTTTCAAACTTAAAAAGTATTGCTTGAGGTTAATGTAATCTTTCTAGTGACCTCACAAGCACAATGTGCTTAAGGACTTGATGGCTAAACCTCCCTCCCTTTCCAAAGGTGCATGACCAGGACCTTCCATATGCAAAGATGCATGAAAGAATATAAGCAGGCCATTTATTTTTGTCTTGTTAGTTTTTTCCCCCATCCAGGATTGCAGTCTGTAGGATTAATAAATCAAGGCAGAGAATCAAACAGCTACAAATCTTGGAAAGCCTGTTCAACTGGACAGCCATACAGCATAGTTACATGAAGTCACCACAAAACAGTTACATGAAGGCACCACAAAACAGCTACATGAAGGCACCACAAAACAGCTACATGAAGGCACCACAAAACAGTTACATGGAGGCACCACAAAACAGCTACATGGAGGCACCACAAAACAGCTACATGGAGGCACCACAAAACAGTTACATGGAGGCACCACAAAACAGTTACATGGAGGCACCACAAAACAGTTACATGGAGGCACCACAAAACAGTTACATGGAGGCACCACAAAACAGTTACATGGAGGCACCACAAAACAGCTACATGAAGGCACCACAAAACAGTTACATGGAGGCACCACAAAACAGTTACATGGAGGCACCACAAAACAGTATTGCTTGAGGTTAATGTAATCTTTCTAGTGACCTCACAAGCACAATGTGCTTAAGGACTTGATGGCTAAACCTCCCTCCCTTTCCAAAGGTGCATGACCAGGACCTTCCATATGCAAAGATGCATGAAAGAATATAAGCAGGCCATTTATTTTTGTCTTGTTAGTTTTTTCCCCCATCCAGGATTGCAGTCTGTAGGATTAATAAATCAAGGCAGAGAATCAAACAGCTACAAATCTTGGAAAGCCTGTTCAACTGGACAGCCATACAGCATAGTTACATGAAGTCACCACAAAACAGTTACATGAAGGCACCACAAAACAGCTACATGAAGGCACCACAAAACAGCTACATGAAGGCACCACAAAACAGTTACATGGAGGCACCACAAAACAGCTACATGGAGGCACCACAAAACAGCTACATGGAGGCACCACAAAACAGTTACATGGAGGCACCACAAAACAGTTACATGGAGGCACCACAAAACAGTTACATGGAGGCACCACAAAAACAGTTACATGGAGGCACCACAAAACAGTTACATGGAGGCACCACAAAACAGCTACATGAAGGCACCACAAAACAGTTACATGGAGGCACCACAAAACAGTTACATGGAGGCACCACAAAACAGTTACATGGAGGCACCACAAAACAGTTACATGAAGGCACCACAAAACAGTTACATGAAGGCACCACAAAACAGTTACATGGAGGCACCACAAAACAGTTACATGGAGGCACCACAAAACAGTTACATGAAGGCACCACAAAACAGCTACATGGAGGCACCACAAAACAGTTACATGGAGGCACCACAAAACAGTTACATGGAGGCACCACAAAACAGTTACATGGAGGCACCACAAAACAGTTACATGGAGGCACCACAAAACAGTTACATGGAGGCACCACAAAACAGCTACATGAAGGCACCACAAAACAGTTACATGGAGGCACCACAAAACAGCTACATGAAGGCACCACAAAACAGCTACATGAAGGCACCACAGAACAGTTACATGGAGGCACCACAGAACAGTTACATGGAGGCACCACAGAACAGTTACAAAGTAACCTAGAAATATTCCATGAACTGTGACTAAAAAAAAAGTTTAACAGGGAAGAAGATAAGCATGCACAAAAAACACACAAATCGATGTTTCAGCCGAGGCCTTTCTCGACATGAATAACTACGCAACAATACCAAAGAGGAAAGTATTCTAACCACCAGTGCCCGCCAGGAATTCATGTGAGAAAATATAAAATCGTGATGTGGAGTGTAAAAAAAAAAATGTAAAAAAAAAAATAAAGTGAGGCTCAAATAATAGTCATTAAAGTAACAGTGAAAATATATATAATATTAGGAATAAAACAGTAGTAGAAAAAAGTACACAGTTTAAAGTAACCTGTAGTCCCATGTGGGCGGGTGAGCAGAGCATGATTAAGCACAGGCTACATGAGATAAGGCCTAGGTTAGTAGTCTGTAAAGCACTCAATTCTACTGCTTACCTGAGTCTGCACAGTCTTTCTGATGCCTCCAATTCCTTACGGAAGCAGACCTCGTACTTGACATTGATTCCTGGGACAGCTGTCCAAGAGAGGCTGGCACTGGTGGGTTCTACGGAATCAGCGCGGACATTGTCTGGAACCAGCTGAAACTGCAACTCTTTCAGCTGGAACTCACTGGTGCTGGGACTGGATGGTCCCTGTTTGGTCAGGGCCATCAGAGTCACCTTGTAGAAATGCTCATTGTCTGCAAATGTATATGTCATCAATAACTTTAACCAGTAAAGAAATACAAAAAACAAAACAAAAGTAATTAGGTATCCTTTAAAAGACACTACACAATCAATTTCTCCACAAGGCGATTTTACATTCATTAATCCGCCATTGCTAACTGAAGCCTCTGAAAAACTACCACCAAAAAAAAGTTATTATGTATCCTCTAAAAGATACTGCAGAATCAATTCTCCAACCCCCCCCCCCCCCCACATTTTTTCACTAGGCGATTTACATTCAGTAATTTGCCACTGCTTTCTGAAGGGTCAGCTCTCGACACCACTACTGAAAAGAAATGCAAGCTGTATGCTGCCGAATCACCTAAAGCTGGGATCATTGTCAGCATTATGATATGATATGGCTCGGCTTTATAGTGTTCGTTGGAGGTTGTGTTGTCATGAGTCTCTTTGAGTCGCAGCAGGCGCCTGTGTAAAAGCTCAGTAGGGGGGAAGCGCCACAAGCGCAATGATTCGTGAGTATTGAAACTGGGGTATTTTTGTATTTCTACATTAGTTGGCCGTGGCCCCCCCCCCCCCCCCCCCCCCCCCCCTGAGAATGAGAAGGCACTGACAAGGAATGTAGGAACAGAAAAACACTACAGTTTCCAGTCCTGAACCGCCCCGCAGTTAGGAAAAAAGTAATAATAATCACTCAAGTGAGCTGTATGAAGACAAGAAAAGGGAGAGGGTAAAAGTGTTGACAATAAGGAATGCATGACACCCCCACAATGAGGCATGAATAGGAAGGGAAGTCACTCTCTTTCTGCGGCGAAAAATGTTACTTGCACCCATTTTTCATGGAAGCATCAAGACATGAACTAGTTTGTGTGAGGGACCCTCATATACTCCTAACACCATTTTTTGGGGCCTTTATTATGTGTGTGTAATGGACCAGATTTTCTATAACCTTTGGAAGGGCAAATAAATATAGTACAAACCACCATATTAAATGTGTTAGAGCAAAGTTTCATAAGATTACATAAGCTTAGTTTTTACCATTTAGCTCACTCAGCTACAAGACAACACAATTTTCAACTATAGCCGAGCAAAAGAGAACATAAAAATCAGTTAAGCCTTTCCTCCCAGAAAACCTGGGGAGGAAAATTTACGCTTCAAATATTCTGGAAAAAATTCTAAATTTCTCAATTTCTAAATTAAAAAAAATTTATAAATATATTTGTGTGCATTTAAAATGTGTTTATTAATATACCTAGCGTGGTAATTAATTAGCGTTGAGTGGAGGAGAATTAAACAGACTACATTCTCTTAGGTCTATAAATGTATACAGTGACTCATAACTTAACCTACAGCTATGCGGCTGCTAAGACTAAATTATGATGTCATTGTAGCTTAGCAAAAACAATATTTTCCCCACAACAATCCCCCTTACCGCCTCCCAATGCTACTGTTAGTAAATAAAAGGACGCAAGGTCCTTCGAAAACATTGTGCAGGTGCAAAGAGAACCAATGCCATTAACTAGGCTTGTCAGGGATAGGCAAATGCAGCAATGCCAGTTTAGCAGGTTTTTATGGGATCTGTAATGGACGGCAATGTCGAAATAGCAGCAACTCAGGGGGAAATGTTATCACACAAAACTTAACTCATTCTCTTGTGGATAAAACCAAGAATTATGTCACATCTGGAGTAATGAAACAACATCTACCTGACAAATAAATGGTCTGCAAGGAGTTAATAACATACCCAAATCTGTGATTATGTGAGACGTAATTGATGCATCCAGATGGAACTTCCTCACTGGTTCTGCCAACCTGCTCAAGCTCTGAACTTCCAGGCTGTAGCCTGTGATGGTCTGATCTGCCGCTGGGTTCAAGGATCCTACAGGTGCCTGCCATTCTAACCAGACTGCGGTTTCGTTGATATATTTTATATCCAGCCTTGGTGGACTTGAAGCTGTATTTAGCAGAAACACATGTAGAAGTCATGACACCATATAATACATAATTATAATGTACTAATATTTTTAATAATTTTACTTCTACAGATGCTTTATTTGGGATATGTGTGGTTTCAACAAGAAAGGCAATTCTGTGCCATCTCCACAATGAAGGGTTGGCTACAGTACTTAGCGATGTCTTCAGGAATATACGCAGTGAGGCCCCAATCTGTTCCAAAGCGTGCTTATGTACCCTCGTACAGGTTTCCAAAAAACCAAGAAAATGTTCTTGTTTCTTTACACACAAAAAAGCTGGGGCCCACGATTAATTTGGGCTAATATGCAGCACAGCAGTTAAATCATCCTTATAACATGTACCTGATAATTTTCAGTTCATTCTGGGGGGAAAAAGCAGTGAAGAAGAGGGTGGAGAGATACAGAGGGAGGAAGAGAGATAGAGAAGGTTGTAGTATGAGGGAGACAAGCGGAAGAGATGGAGAAAAGAGAGAGAGAGAGAAGGCAGATAGAGGGGGTGGATGTGTGAGAAAGAGAGTGAGCGATGAAAAACTATGATACAAGGAGATATAAAAGGGGAAGGGGGCAAAGGATGTGGTATGAGGGAGGGAGGGATAGACAGACATATAGAGAGAAAAAGTGTGAGGAGGAGAAAGGGTGAGAGAAAGGTGTGATAAAGGTGTGATAAGAGAGAGGCAGAGGAGATGAGTGAAGGGGACAAGGGACCTTTTAGTTGGAATAATTACCATTTGCAGGAGGTGTTGTGTACTGATACCACGGCCAGTCATCACGCTTGGTGTAGCCAACAGATGTGGCCGCAACCACTAGAATTTCATACAACTTCTTCGGCTCAACACCTGAAATACAGGAAGGGGATATATAGTAAAACTTAATTTACATGGTACCAAAAACTAAGTTTGTGTTGAAACTTTGTTCACCTCGAATGAATGAATGAATGTATGAATCAATCAATCAATCAATCAAAAATTGACATCACTGCACTTTGGACATTCCCATACATGCTCCCTCCCCTTCTTCAGAAGCCAATCTGCTTGTGTTTCCCCATCAAATTTGAATATCTCCTAGAACCTCTACACAACCCCTGTTTACTTAGTCTTTCAATGTATGGCTTCTTTATCTGTTCCACTGCACTGTTCACTTGAAGTGTACTTACTCCTCAGGCAAGTTCATGTTAACGAGTTTTAGTGTATATGCACCTACAACAGGGCTACAGCTACTAATCTGCTATACAAATATCACATGTGAATCTGTGCACCAGATTACAGATCTGCATTCAACGTATCTTCCACTCTGTATCTTGAAAAAATTCATACTATATAAGAACATTGCCAAACCACAATCACTGGACAGTCAACTTCCTTTACATTTTAGGGTCCCCCTCTACCTCCACATCTACAAAACTAAAAGAAATTGGAGAGAAGATCCCTCAAGAGAAAACAAATACCCCAACCATATTTCCCGACTCACGCAGGAAAATTTTATTTTTTACAGATCTGACTTATTCATGTACCTTTCAGGCAGACGCCATCCAATTTAAAAAAAAAACACTTATCCTATCAACTCTGGCCATGCACCTTGGGGGGGGGGGGGGGGGGGGGGGAAATATATTTCTTGGATGACTGCGGAGAGGTCAAAGTCTTGACCAGTAGGAACCTTTGTCCTTTGGCATGTTTGGTCCAGCCCCTCTACAACTTTTGTCCTGTGGCATGTTTGGTCCAGCCCCTCTACAACCCTTGTCCTGGTGCATGTTTGGTCCAGCTCCTCTGCAACCCTTGTCCTTTGGCATGTTTGGTCCAGCTCCTCTGCAACCCTTGTCCTTTGGCATGTTTGGTCCAGCCCCTCTACAACCCTTGTCCTGGTGCATGTTTGGTCCAGCACCTCTGCAACCCTTGTCCTGGTGCATGTTTGGTCCAGCCCCTCTACAACCCTTGTCCTGGTGCATGTTTGGTCCAGCCCCTCTACAACCCTTGTCCTGGTGCATGTTTGGTCCAGCTTCTCTACAACCCTTGTCCTGGTGCATGTTTGGTCCTCTACAACCCTTGTCCTGGTGCATGTTTGCCCCTCTACAACCCTTGTCCTGGTGCATGTTTGCCCCTCTACAACCCTTGTTCTGGTGCATGTTTGGTCCAGCCCCTCTACAACCCTTGTCCTGGTGCATGTTTGCCCCTCTACAACCCTTGTCCTGGTGCATGTTTGGTCCAGCCCCTCTACAACCCTTGTCCTGGTGCATGTTTGGTCCAGCCCCTTTACAACCCTTGTCCTGGTGCATGTTTGGTCCAGCCCCTCTACAACCCTTGTTCTGGTGCATGTTTGGTCCAGCTTCTCTACAACCCATGTCCTGGTGCATGTTTGCCCCTCTACAACCCTTGTTCTGGTGCATGTTTGGTCCAGCTTCTCTACAACCCTTGTCCTGGTGCATGTTTGCCCCTCTACAACCCTTGTCCTGGTGCATGTTTGCCCCTCTACAACCCTTGTCCTGGTGCATGTTTGGTCCAGCCCCTCTACAACCCTTGTCCTGGTACATGTTTGGTCCAGCCCCTCTACAACCCCTTGTCCTGGTGCATGTTTGGTCCAGCCCCTCTACAACCCTTGTCCTGGTGCATGTTTGGTCCAGACCCTCTACAACCCTTGTCCTGGTCCTGGTGCATGTTTGGTCCAGCCCCTCTACAAACCCTTGTCCTGGTGCATGTTTGGTCCAGCCCCTCTACAACCCTTGTCCTGGTGCATGTTTGGTCCAGCTTCTCTACAACCCTTGTCCTGGTGCATGTTTGGTCCTCTACAACCCTTGTCCTGGTGCATGTTTGCCCCTCTACAACCCTTGTTCTGGTGCATGTTTGGTCCAGCCCCTCTACAACCCTTGTCCTGGTGCATGTTTGCCCCTCTACAACCCTTGTCCTGGTGCATGTTTGGTCCAGCCCCTCTACAACCCTTGTCCGGTGCATGTTTGGTCCAGCCCCTCTACAACCCTTGTCCTGGTGCATGTTTGGTCCAGCCCCTCTACAACCCTTGTTCTGGTGCATGTTTGGTCCAGCTTCTCTACAACCCTTGTCCTGGTGCATGTTTGCCCCTCTACAACCCTTGTTCTGGTGCATGTTTGGTCCAGCTTCTCTACAACCCTTGTCCTGGTGCATGTTTGCCCCTCTACAACCCTTGTCCTGGTGCATGTTTGCCCCTCTACAACCCTTGTCCTGGTGCATGTTTGGTCCAGCCCCTCTACAACCCTTGTCCTGGTACATGTTTGGTCCAGCCCCTCTACAACCCTTGTCCTGGTGCATGTTTGGTCCAGCCCCTCTACAACCCTTGTCCTGGTGCATGTTTGGTCCAGACCCTCTACAACCCTTGTCCTGGTCCTGGTGCATGTTTGGTCCAGCCCCTCTACAACCCCTTGTCCTGGTGCATGTTTGGTCCAGCCCCTCTACAACCCTTGTCCTGGTGCATGTTTGGTCCAGCCCCTCTACAACCCTTGTCCTGGTGCATGTTTGGTCCAGCCCCTCTACAACCCTTGTCCTGGTGCATGTTTGGTCCAGCCCCTCTACAACCCTTGTCCTGGTGCATGTTTGGTCCAGCTTCTCTACAACCCTTGTCCTGGTGCATGTTTGCCCCTCTACAACCCTTGTCCTGGTGAATGTTTGCCCCTCTACAACCCTTGTCCTGGTGCATGTTTGGTCCAGCTCCTCTGCAACCCTTGTCCTGGTGCATGTTTGGTCCAGCTCCTCTGCAACCCTTGTCCTGGTGCATGTTTGCTCCTCTGAGACCCTTGTCCTGGTGCATGTTTGCTGCCCTGCAACCCTTGTCCTGGTGCATGTTTGGTCCAGCCCCTCTACAACCCTTGTCCTGGTGCATGTTTGGTCCAGCTCCTCTACAACCCTTGTCCTGGTGCATGTTTGGTCCTCTGCAACCCTTGTTCTGGTACATGTTTGGTCCAGCCCCTCTACAACCCTTGTCCTGGTGCATGTTTGGTCCAGCTCCTCTGCAACCCTTGTCCTGGTGCATGTTTGGTCTTCTGCAACCCTTGTTCTGGTGCATGTTTGGTCCAGCCCCTCTACAACCCTTGTCCTGGTGCATGTTTGCCCCTCTACAACCCTTGTCCTGGTGCATGTTTGGTCCAGCCCCTCTACAACCCTTGTCCTGGTGCATGTTTGGTCCAGCTCCTCTGCAACCCTTGTCCTGGTGCATGTTTGCTCCTCTGCAACCCTTGTCCTGGTGCATGTTTGGTCCAGCCCCTCTGCAACCCTTGTCCTGGTACATTTGGTCCAGCCCCTCTACAACTCTTGTCCTGGTACGTTTGGTCCAGCCCCTCTACAACCCTTGTCCTGGTACATGTTTGATCCAGCCCCTCTACAACCCTTGTCCTGGTACATGTTTGATCCAGCCCCTCTACAACGCTTGTTCTGGTACATGTTTGGTCCAGCCCCTCTACAACCCTTGTCCTGGTACATGTTTGGTCCAGCCCCTCTACAACCCTTGTCCTGGTGCATGTTTGGCCAAGCTGCAACCCTTGTTCTGGTGCATGTTTGGTCCAGCCCCTCTACAACCCTTGTCCTGGTGCATGTTTGCCCCTCTACAACCCTTGTCCTGGTGCATGTTTGCCCCTCTACAACCCTTGTTCTGGTGCATGTTTGGTCCAGCCCCTCTACAACCCTTGTCCTGGTGCATGTTTGCCCCTCTACAACCCTTGTCCTGGTGCATGTTTGGTCCAGCCCCTCTACAACCCTTGTCCTGGTGCATGTTTGGTCCAGACCCTCTACAACCCTTGTCCTGGTCCTGGTGCATGTTTGGTCCAGCCCCTCTACAACCCTTGTTCTGGTGCATGTTTGGTCCAGCTTCTCTACAACCCTTGTCCTGGTGCATGTTTGCCCCTCTACAACCCTTGTTCTGGTGCATGTTTGGTCCAGCTTCTCTACAACCCTTGTCCTGGTGCATGTTTGCCCCTCTACAACCCTTGTCCTGGTGCATGTTTGCCCCTCTACAACCCTTGTCCTGGTGCATGTTTGGTCCAGCCCCTCTACAACCCTTGTCCTGGTACATGTTTGGTCCAGCCCCTCTACAACCCTTGTCCTGGTGCATGTTTGGTCCAGCCCCTCTACAACCCTTGTCCTGGTGCATGTTTGGTCCAGACCCTCTACAACCCTTGTCCTGGTCCTGGTGCATGTTTGGTCCAGCCCCTCTACAACCCTTGTCCTGGTGCATGTTTGGTCCAGCCCCTCTACAACCCTTGTCCTGGTGCATGTTTGGTCCAGCCCCTCTACAACCCTTGTCCTGGTGCATGTTTGGTCCAGCCCCTCTACAACCCTTGTCCTGGTGCATGTTTGGTCCAGCCCCTCTACAACCCTTGTCCTGGTGCATGTTTGGTCCAGCTTCTCTACAACCCTTGTCCTGGTGCATGTTTGCCCCTCTACAACCCTTGTCCTGGTGAATGTTTGCCCCTCTACAACCCTTGTCCTGGTGCATGTTTGGTCCAGCTCCTCTGCAACCCTTGTCCTGGTGCATGTTTGGTCCAGCTCCTCTGCAACCCTTGTCCTGGTGCATGTTTGCTCCTCTGAGACCCTTGTCCTGGTGCATGTTTGCTGCCCTGCAACCCTTGTCCTGGTGCATGTTTGGTCCAGCCCCTCTACAACCCTTGTCCTGGTGCATGTTTGGTCCAGCTCCTCTACAACCCTTGTCCTGGTGCATGTTTGGTCCTCTGCAACCCTTGTTCTGGTACATGTTTGGTCCAGCCCCTCTACAACCCTTGTCCTGGTGCATGTTTGGTCCAGCTCCTCTGCAACCCTTGTCCTGGTGCATGTTTGGTCTTCTGCAACCCTTGTTCTGGTGCATGTTTGGTCCAGCCCCTCTACAACCCTTGTCCTGGTGCATGTTTGCCCCTCTACAACCCTTGTCCTGGTGCATGTTTGGTCCAGCCCCTCTACAACCCTTGTCCTGGTGCATGTTTGGTCCAGCTCCTCTGCAAACCCTTGTCCTGGTGCATGTTTGGTCCAGCTCCTCTGCAACCCTTGTCCTGGTGCATGTTTGGTCCAGCCCCTCTGCAACCCTTGTCCTGGTACACTTGGTCCAGCCCCTCTACAACCCTTGTCCTGGTACGTTTGGTCCAGCCCCTCTACAACCCTTGTCCTGGTGCATGTTTGATCCAGCCCCTCTACAACCCTTGTCCTGGTACATGTTTGATCCAGCCCCTCTACAACGCTTGTTCTGGTACATGTTTGGTCCAGCCCCTCTACAACCCTTGTCCTGGTACATGTTTGGTCCAGCCCCTCTACAACCCTTGTCCTGGTGCATGTTTGGCCAAGCTGCAACCCTTGTTCTGGTGCATGTTTGGTCCAGCCCCTCTACAACCCTTGTCCTGGTGCATGTTTGGTCCTCTGCAACCCTTGTTCTGGTACATGTTTGCTCCCCTGCAACCCTTGTTCTGGTGTATGTTTGGTCCAGCCCCTCTGCAACCCTTTGTTCCCAAATACATTTCTTGTGTCCACTTCCTGACCATGGAACTATATATGGTTGAAAATACTCCTACACCTTCTTAGATGGAAACAAGCCAGTGGACTACTTCCATAGCCGCTAGTTTCAATACTGTGGTTAACTAAAAAGTTACCAGTTTACATCATCATCATTCTTTGTGTGCCATTTAACGTCACAAAGGGCTCACATTCGATCTATCCACTCTGCTTTATTGCATGCAACTCTCTTGATTTCTGACTTGGCATTCAGCCCAGCATTGTTTGCCTCTAATAACAATGTTTTTCTTAATGTTTCCCTTGGACATCCTCTTTTTCTCAGACTGTTTTCCATTTCAGTGCCTGTTTTGTAATTGTTTTCTCACTTTGTCTCAGACTGTGCCCAATATATCTCCACCTTCTTTGTCTTACTGCAGTTGATACAGGTATCTGTCTAGACATTTCTCTGATATCCTCACTCTTTTTTTGAATTCATCCTATTTTATGTTCATTATTCTCAGTCATTTATTATTTGCAAACGCATTTAACTTTCCTTCCATATCTCTGGTGGTTCTCAAACTTTGGCTGGCATATGTTAGAAATGAAATAACTTTAGAATTAAGATTTGGTCTCCTAGATGTATAACTTAGAGCTCCATATTTTGTTAAGGCTTTTAAAGACTGTTTTTGTTTTGTGAATGCGTATCATAATTTCCTTTGTCGTATCTCCTTGAGAGTCAAAATTGCTACCCAAATAAGTGAAATGGTCTGTTACTTTTACTGGTTTGTTCTCTAGCATGACATCTACCAGACTTGTTGTTGGTATCTCTAATACATTTGTTTTCTCGTATCTTATGTGTAGCCCTATTTTTTTAATCTTGTAGACGACAAATTGTCTGTTTTTCTTTGCATGGCTTTGTTAATTTTACAATACCATCTGTAAAATTCAGACGTCTATTTTCTATCCAATCACTACTAATACTGATGTTGTAACATTTTTTTTCATTACCCAGTCAATCCTAAAATTGCCTTTGCAACATTTTTTCATTATCCAGTCAATGCTAATATTGCCTTTGCAACATTTTTTCATTATCCAGTCAATGCTAATATTGCCTTTGCAACATTTTTTCATTATCCAGTCAATGCTAATATTGCCTTTGCAACATTTTTTCACTATCCAGTCAATGCTAATATTGCCTTTGCTAAATTTTTTCATTACCCTATCACTACTAATACAGATGTTGTAAAAAAATTTTCATTACCCAGTCAATCCTAATATTGCCTTTGCAACATTTTTTAATTACCCTATCAATGCTAATATTGCCTTTGCAACAGTTTTTTATTACCCAATCAATGCTACTATTGAGGTTGCAACATTTTTCTTTATCCAAACAATGCTGATATTGCCTTTGCAACATTTTTCATTACCCAATCAATGGCTACTCCCCATAAATAGGCAGAGATAGAAGGCAGCCTTGTTTTACTCAAGTTTCCCCCAGACTTTTGCCATGGGCAAAACCAAGATTCTAAAATACGGCAGTACCTGTTATCAGATAGGAGGTCTGGTTTCCACTGACTTCTTTGCTAGTTTCATCTCTCTTGTCTGCTGATCTGTAGTACACTCTGTATGAAACCACCCGGCCTCTGCTCTGCTCCAGGGTCAATGGGGCCCAGCTGACCAGCATGCTGTGAAAGTGTGGACTGGTCACAGAGAGCCGTGGGACAGTTTTAGGTACTGAAAATAATTGAATACTTGCACATTAAAAACAAGCATAGGGAACAAAAAAGGAGTATTTAAAGACTTGAATTTTTAAAGAGTTCAATGAAGTAACAACACAAATAGCCACTGACAAGGCCACTTCAGACAACAAATGCTAGCAAATATTCAGATGTTTTGGCTGAAAAATAAATATGCAAATGTTGCATTTATGGCGTAAACAGACATGATGCAACTACTCGATTTAAAAAAAAAAAAGGTTCTCATTATCTCTTCTATCTGCTGTTGTGGATGTACAACAGACATTAAGTCTTCTGTCCCATGTTGTAGATGTACAACATACTTTATTTCTTTTATCCTTTGTTACAGATGTATTTTTCCTATGTTGTAGATGTACTATAGACATTAATTATCATGTGTTGCAGATGTACTACATACATTAGTTATTCTGTGTTGCAGATGTACTGCATACATTATTTATCCTGTGTTGCGGATGTGCTACAGACATTATTTATCCTCTGCTATAGATGTACTACAGATATTATTTATCCTGTGTTGTAGATGTACTACAGTCATTATTTATCCTGTGATGCAGATCTATCATAAACATTATATTATCTATCATTTGATGTAGATCTATCACAAACACTATCTCTTCTACCTCGCATATGATGTAGATCTATTACAAACACCATTCCTTCTACATTGTGATGAACAACACTATATCTTCTACCCTGTAATGCAGATCTGTCACAAACACTATCTATTCTACCTTGCTTGTGATGTAGACCTATCACAATCACCATCTCTTCTACCTTGTTATGTAGATTTATCACAAACATTAACTACTCTATCCTGTGATGCAGATCTTTCATTAACACTATCCCTTCTATCCTATGACAAAAATTCACCATACATGCTGTTTCATCAATACTGTATCGTAGATGCAAAACATAAACCATCATTCTCGAACCTTGTGGCACTTAAAACACAACATTATCGGCATAATTTTTTTTTTACAATTTAACTCTAAAAATGACATTAACCATGAGGAAATGACAGACTTCATTGAAGCTGTTGGGTCCCCCATAACAGACATTCCTATATTAATTATTCTTCTTTGTTTTGTTTGTGTTTGCTGGATGTAAACTCTGGCGGAAAGTTCTGATTGTTCATCCACTTCTGGACTTTATCATTGTTTTAGAACTTGAGTTTTGCATGCATACCCATTTTAGAGATTTGGCTTACTTGTATGCAGACTGCTGGGTCCTTGCCTCTCAGGCAGATGCATTCAGACTTCAAAGGAAGAATCCCTAATGTTAGAGATGCAGTGGGTCTGTTCTTCTTTCCCCCTCAAAATAGAGCACTAAAACCCACACAGCGAGCTCTAAAATTTTAAATGAACTAATCAAACAAAACAACCCCAGAAGCACTTACCATCCTCTAAAGTCTTTATATAGAGCTTCTCAGTGATTTCACTAGCCCCCTTGATAGCATAAGCCTGCACTCTCACAGAGTAGTTGGTGTAAGGAAGCAGATCAGTGACAACACAACGCTGCTTGCTCGAGTTTTGGGTGACCTGACAGAATGACTGTGACGGTGGCTTGGTGTCCCCTATGGTCATAAGCATTTGCATTTTAAGATTTAGAAGAAGAAAAAAATTAAACAAAATTTTCGCTATTAACACAAAATTATCTATAATAAAATACTGGTGTTTATTTAAACAGCAGGACCCAATGGTCTGACCTTAGGTAGAAGTTCTCTGCCTGACCGGGATTTTGAGTTTACAATTAATACATTAGTAGGGAAGAGGGAAAAGGCATCAGTACGGAAGAAAGAAAAGGCAATAAGGAAAAGAACTAAGGAATTGGGTAGAAAGAAAAGGCAGTAGGAAAGAGGGCTAAGGCATTAGTAGGGAAGACGGAAGCCACTAATCAAAGAGGGCTAAGGCATTAGTAGAGTGACAGAAGCCACTATTGGCAAAGAAGGCTAAGGCATTAGTAGGGAAGACAGAAGCCACTAGTGTCAAAGAGGGCTAAGGAATTAGTAGGGTGACAGAAGCCACTAGTGGCAAAGAGGGCTAAGTAATTAGTAGGGTGACAGAAACCACTAGTGGCAAAAAGGGCTAAGGCATTAGTAGGGAAGACGGAAGCCACTTTTGGCAAAGAGGGCTAAGGCATTAGTAGGGTGACAGAAGCCACTAGTGGCAAAGAGGGCTACGTAATTAGTACGGTGACAGAAGCCACTAGTGGCAAAGAGGGCTACGTAATTAGTAGGGTGACAGAAGCCACTAGTGGCAAAGAGGGCTAAGGCATTAGTAGGGAAGAGGGAAGCCACTAGTGGCAAAGAGGGCTAAGGCATTAGTAGGGAAGACGGTAAAGGTACTGGTGACGAAGAGGGAGGGAGGGGGGAGAGGGGAAGAGAGAGAGAGGATGGGGAGATAATGCTTTTCTCAGTTGCTGAAAGAACATCAAGGATTAACTGAGACTGGACATGAATACATTTTTGCTTGTGTGCAAAATTATTCTTGTCATCACCATTAGGTCTGTTTTATTATGCTGAACATGCAGGTTATGTTACCATTGTATTATTGCAGCAGTTCTCAACCTGTGGGTAGCAACCCCTTTGAGGGTCAAAAGACCATTTCACAGGGGTTGCCTGACAATCGGAAAACACGTATTCACTGAAGTTATGAAGAAGAAACACAATTTTTTTTTCCACAACATGAGAAATTGTATTAATGGGTCATGGCATTAGGAAGGTTGAAAACCACTGGATTATTGGACATATTAAAGCAAAGAAGGAGAGAAGACATGACAACTGACAGCCAGTGGCACCAGTTATCAATGTGATTCAAACTGCTCTGCCTTTGTGCAGTGATGCTCCTGCATCTCAGTTATGACATATGTTCTTCTTCTTCTTTGCCTTCACTGGCTGTAAGCTCCAGCGCAAAGTTCTGGTTGTTCGTCCACTTCTGGATTTTATTTTTGTTCCAGAATCTGAGTATGCGTGCACACCCATTTTATAGATCCAGTTAATTTGTATGCAGACTGTTGGTTACATGCCTCTCAGGCAAAAACCCCTAATTAGTTAGCCCACAAGGCTTGTTAGGGGCATTGGGTTTTTTTTTTTTTTCGGGGGGGGGGGGGGGGGGGGGGGGCAGATATCACCTGCAGGCAATCATCTCTGTGATTAGCCTTCTCTTTCCAGTGGCTGACTCAAAATGTTTGTAGGTCTGCATGCACATTTTCTCTCCACTGTCTTCTTGGTATGCCTTATGGTCTACTAACATTTTTACTTCAGCGTGTATTTAAATAAAGCAAAAACCTATAGGTTCAATATGTCTCAAGGCATACATATGGGCTGCTTTATTGTTATTGTTTGTGGCTTCTCATGATTGAGGTGCATCAGGCATATACTGCTAGACTCACATTGGTGCACACCAACTGGCACTTGATGGCTGATGTGTCAACTCAACGCCTGCCATTTATTTTTATTTTTTTCTCAGGGTTTTACCTGGTACCTATGTTATGCTCGGTAAACCTGGGAGCCAATGAGATTTTTTTTTAAATCTAACTTGATGAAGATTTGAAAACAATCTTTTGGGTGGCAGGTAAGCACCTGGCCACTACTCTACCGTGGCTCTCATTTCTTCTAAATAAAAAACAAAAGCTTTTCCACACAGAAGAGAAACATACCAACAATCTGGTAAGAAACAACATATGGATGCTGTGCAATAGGCATGTGATCAAAAGTGACTAGAAAAGCTGTGCTGTTAATCTGGCTGCACTTCACATTAGCTGGCGTCAGTGGAGCATCAGCTGTGGAAGATCACGAGAAATTAACACAAACTGCTTAAGATTTAGAAGGGATATACTAACAGCTGTATTCATCTTGTCATCATTATCTGGTGTCCTTCTACTATTGTATTCACTTTTGTCCTCATTATTGGTGTCCAACAATTGTATTCACCTCTGTCATCATTGTTTGGTGTCCTTCTAAAACTGTACTCATTTTTATCTTCATTATTTGGCTTCCTTGTATGCAAGGTCACTGAGTGGTAACGCAATCATTGATCATCACAGCGGAAGTGATTCCCCCTGTGGGTTCCAGGGCCACATTTTAGAAGAAGAAAACAAAAACAGATCTACTGATCCACTTACAGGGATATCATAAAAAGTGACTAGAGTTCTGCTAAAATCAGAGGTGTTAGGCAGAAAGGTAGATATAGGGTTCAATCTTTCTTTCATCCAACATATCTGTCTGTGAGACAAGGTGACTTATAAGCATAATATGATGAGCCCAGAGGGATCTGGGACAATGACGGCATGGAACAATGTCGGCAGATAAAGGGTCTGTTTTACAAGAAACCATAGCACACCTTGTAAGGGCAAACACAGGGCATTATGCCCACAGGATACAGGAAGGAATCTTGGGCGGTTCTGAGAAAGTCAAGATAAATAATATTTTTACAGACTTTATACAATGATCTACACAACATCTGACACACAGGTAATACTGGCTTATGATTATCTTCTTCTTTTTATTCTCCCTGACAGTGCTTTTCAGATGAGAAGGCCATAGGCCTCTAAAAAAAAATGTTGTGCTCAGACGCATGCCCTCCGCTGATCCATACCACTTGGTTTCCACCAGAATGCTAAACTGGCCAGACCCTGAACCTCTCAACTGCATGTAAAAAGATGTCTGAAGTACATCTGCTTACATGGACACAGTTTTGAGTACCTTAATTTCTTGTACATGTTACTGCTGCGTGTTCTGTGTGTCCAGTTCTCAGTCTAAAAGTAAAGATCTATTGCTTTCACGTGAGGAGTATTACTATGTCTTCAGGACTACTTTCTGTTCTAATGAGTTCTACAGAAGCAGAAGATGAATAACAGAAGAAAGGACTTGTAATGTAAAAGTCATCAAAACTAATATAAAGAACCATCTCTATCTCTCTAAATCCTCTTCATGTCGCTGCTGACACATAAAGGATTCACAGGTGATCTTCCCTGCTGCCTTTGAGCCCATTTCTCTGTCTACTGTCCTTCTCCAGGCTTCCGAAGGTTGTCCACATCTCCTTGTAACAACTGCCTTCCACCAGACAGCTGTCCTTGTCAAGGCTTCACAAATACATCAGTGGCAGTCACATGCAGGTGACCTTTGACTTCTACAATTACATGAGGTGTTCAAAGGGATTTTCATTAGTGCTCAGACACTTAATATTACAATAAACTGGTGCCTGGATATGGTAGAAAAAAGTTTTGCCTTGTAGTGTTCATTGTAACATCGGTTGAGATAACATTATACTGTACATTACAACCATAATTCAATGTTATATTTCTACATATATATGTTCTGTGTAACATCAGTTGAGATGACATTATACTGTACATTATAACCATAATTTAATGTTATATTTCTAAATATCTATGTTCTTTGTAACATCAGTTGAGATGACATTAAACTGTACTTAAAACCTTAATTTAATGTTAAATTTCTATGTTCATTGTAACAATACACACACACCCCCCCCCCCCCCAACCCCCAAGTATGTTAGTCCCACTCTTTGTAAATGCAGCTTTGCACATGTTCTTGGCATAACAAGAAACTTAGGTCATAAACTGTGCATATTCTATATCACATTCAAACATTTTACAATTATTGTTCAAAAAAACTTACCGACTTTGAAGATCTCCAGAAATGCAACAGCCATCACATGCCCAACAGAGTTCTCTGCTATACACTGATAGAAACCAGAGCTCTTCTTCTGGAGTGTGTACAGATGCAAGTTCTGCCCATTCTTGGTGTCCCGTATCTGCAAGAATGAATTTGTTTATGTATGTTTCAGACTGCACATTAAACAGTGTCAAGGCAGAAAGAAGTACATGGATGCCAAATGATCAAGTGAATTATTCTGCAAGTTTTATTATGCCTCCGAGCAAGTTATCAGGTTGACCACTCTTAAATGTTCAAAATCGTACCATTGCGTAGTTCCTTTAGAAGCAAGTGAATAATGATGTGCGTGTGTGAAAGAGACCTACGGTCTGATCCAAGGGAGGGGCAGATCCAAACACTAGACCCTGAAACTATTGGCTGCTTGGAGGCCCTAAAGTCAGTCAACTGTCTGCTCCAAAAGTATATGTGCATAACATTTGTGGAAAGCGAAAGCTACACCAGAAAGGTCATTCTGTATTTGCACTGAGCTGAATTACTGTGGAACGTTTAACCAGCCAGGCTGTTTTCTAGCTTATCATGGACATTACATTGTTATACAATAATGATGGGAACTAATGCGCCACACTCCAGATCTAATGTTTTTATCTTTATCTGCCCGCAGGCTTGTGAACATAGAGCTCTGGTACTTACAGTACCATATTTGTGTCTACTGTTCCAGTTGTATGGTATGTCAATCAATGTTTGAAACATTTACTTCCTTATTATTTTGTATGTAGTGTGGTCCTGCAAGAATGCTCCTCCATCTTTTTGTGAAACAGCGTTAGGGAATATATAAATTGTGCGAGGGTCTTGGACTAGATGTTCTCACTTGTCTATATTTCCTATTGTAGAGGTTCCCACTTACCATCTAATTCCAAGAACAGGAATTGCTTTCTGCAGCTGTGATAGCATCCTAAGACAATATATTAGATGGAACTATACTCTTGAACCACATCTGCAGTCTGTTCATTGGCGTTCCTGATCTATGGAGTGATATCTTCCTATCTTCCATGCAAAGTCTATCACTTTCTTAAAGATCTTTATCAAATTTATGAGTACTTGTATCATTCTTTCTCTCTTTCTCCACTCTCTCTCACACAGGCACACTCCTACTATGGAAGTCATAGCTGTTTAATTCAATTTAATACTTGTGCCAATTTTTGCACTTATCATTCAAGTACAAATGTATGCTGTCAATAGAACACTTAAGTCTAAGGTATTTTGCAAGCACATGTGTGTGTGTGTGTGTGTGCGCGCACATACACACACACACTTCCACACACATGTATGAGACAAAACAAAAGAGAACAAGTGAAAGAAAGGGGAAAAAGGACAGGTAAGAGGACAGAGAAGAGGAGAGAGAATAAAACAGACTGAAAAAGGAAAATAAGACCAGAAAGGGAGAGAGGGGGGGGGGGGGGGGGGGGAGAGAGACATATAGACAGCGATATAGAGAGACAGATAGAGATATAGAGAGAGGATATATATATATATATATATATATATATATATATATATATATATATATATATATATATATATATATATATATATATATATATATATATATATATATATATATATATATATATATATACAGAGAGAGAGAGACAGACAGAAAGACAGACCAGACAGACAGACCAGACAGACAGACAGACAGACAGACAGACAGACAGTCTGACAGACAGACAGACAGACAGACAGACAGACAGACAGACAGACAGACAGACAGACAGACAGACAGACAGACAGACAGACAGACAGACAGACAGACAGACAGACAGACAGATGAGTAGAGGGGACAGAAGACAGAATTAGAAAAACAGAAATGAAACCACGTATCATACCTCTGAATAAATATCAGTTTTTGAAATGGGTATCCCATTATGGTACCAACTAATTTTAGGGGGTGGATTGCCCGTCACCTTGCAGGACGTGGACAGCATTCTAGCCACAGGATACAGGAAGGACTTTGGACCCTCTTCCAACTTAGGTGGCTCTGAGCAAGTAAAGATAAATCATTTGATTACAAACAGACTATTTATGATTTACACAACAAATGACACATGGACAATACTGACTTAAAATTTTCAATTCGTTCTGTCTGTCAGTAGTTTTCAGATCAAATGGCCAGGCATCCATGAAGGTTGTGCTGAGACGCATGACCTCTACGGATCCACTGATATCCACCAGAATGCCAACTGACCCGACCCTTAACCTGTCAACTGTGTGTAGACAGCCTGTCTCAGTATTTTGTGCTGCCCGCTCACATGGCCAATGTTCAGACTCCCAGTCTTGAGGACATGTTGCTGAGTCCTTTGTGTCCGGTTCCCAATCTAAAAACTTTATTATTGTGTTGCTTTAGTGTGAGGAAATTTATTTGGGGCTGCAGGATTGTGTTCTGGATGGGAAGTGTTCCAATAGGTTCTAATAGCTGCCTTGACCTAGGCTTCAGTTTCCTCACAAGTGGCTAAACCATAAAAACCAAACAGAGAAATCAAATGGACATTACTTAAGCACTTAATCTATCAGAAACAATTCTCCAGTCATGTATATAAGATTTTCTAACCTCTCAGCAACTGTAGACATAGCATTTGCTAAAAACCATAGGTCTGTGACATCAGATTTAACATATAACTGTTACTGATATTTGTTTCTTCGAGTTATGAGTTAGATTATCTTCACAGCACTCTGGACACATCCATAGGCGCTCAGATTCCCCTCTCAACATATTCATCAGCGTTGTGCGGTTAATAGTACCAGTACTATGTTGGTTAACAAGACTTAGTGTGCGTCCAGTGTGCTTCTCATGCTTGGCTGTGCCGATCTTTACTCCCAATTCACGTATTCTTAGAAGTGATGTGGACACGTTGCTTCCAAAATCCTCAGAACGTCCTATCTCTCAAAGGGCAATGACAATATCTGCGTGATCCATGGGCCGGCCATCTTCAATGAATGCAGTGCCTGCCAGTCTATCAGCTCTCTCATTACCAACAATGCTTGCATGCCCTGGGACGAATATGACAGTAACTGCACACACAGGAGAATTTTGCAATGACTCAAGCCACTGTCTGCGTAACCAGCCTGCCTCGACCCGCCGGATCATGCTTAAAGAAGCACTCAGCATACACACGCGGGAATAGTCCTGTGATCCCAGCCACATGAAAGCCTGTGTCACCGCTATCACCTCCATCGCCATGCTACTGGTGGTCATGGAGAAGCAACCGCTAGCTTCCTCAACTGTTGTGCCTGATGAGCAAGCTGTAAATGCCCATGCACTCTTATGTTTCTTTACTTGTTAGCTTTCAGGCGGGCCGCAGGTGTAAAAAGAAAACAAATAAATTGACGCTTTGGCTGGGGCCCTTTTTATTTTTTAAAGTGAACTGCACAATAATCACAAAGCATACGCCAACCATCAGCACCCTTGTTTTGCTTCCACATTATGTAAAGCTTTTTATTCACAGTTCAGTGGATTAATTTCATTTTCTCAGAGCAGATCATTCAACCAAGTTTACTCAGGGACCAAAATGTTGGAAATTGTGAATCGTCGCGAGCCAGAGGAGCACCAGCAAAGAAAAATAATTAATACTGTTTATTTGGCAGGTAATCAATGGGCCACTTCCTAGGCATTTGTGGGCCCGATTGGCCGGTCAGTTGAAGAGCCTTGATTTTGAACAATCGCTAAACAATGTTTATTATTCCAAAGTGTTACTTCTATACAACTAATTTGGTTTCAATCTTCAAAACTGGCTTTTTAAATTTTTATTTTAACATGCATACAAACTCATTTAGGCCTAGCAAATCCTGGACATAATTGTCAAAAACAATTTGTTATTTCAAGAGCTGAATTTAATAGAACCAAGTTAATGGCTTTAATCCACACAAAGAGATCAAAGAGAACAAGTAAGGCGGAGAAGATTATCAAAAGTACTGTGCCAAGTTTCGTCTTGACATACAGTTTTCAGCATGGTTTGTTGGTCTAGGTCACACTTCCAGGTGAGGGATGTGAGAGCTCTCTCTCTCTCTCTGTATGCATGTGCGCGCGCGCGTACATGAGGTGTGGGGGGGGGGGGGGGGGGGGGGAAGAGGGATTATATGAGTGCACATCATTATGTAGGTTAGTTGCGTATCCTTTATACAATATTATGTGTGTATATATATATATTGTCAACCTGAAGTCAAAGGTGACGAAAATGTTGAGTAACAAACAGTAACAATTGGGGGGGGGGGGAGGGGGGATCTCCCTTTTTATGCCTCTAGGCGCATCGAGCATATGGAAAGAGTACCCCCATATTTGTACAGACCAATCGGCGGGTCATATGGTCAGCATTACACAGACTGTCTTTACTTCCCCAGGACATCCATCCTGGTACCCAGCTCAGGCTGGGTCGACCTGCCATGCCCCATACCACAATAAAAATCCACTTAGCCAGCAGTGGGTTTCAATCGCGGTACATTGGAATTATGAGTCAGACTCACAACGCCTAAGCATTGGACACCACAAGTAACAAACAGTACCATGTCCTAGATAATTTTGGCTATATCAAATGTCACAGTAAAGAATAATAATGGAAGTTGTGGTAGATGGAAAAAGAAAGAAACATGGCCTAACCAAAAGAAGACACCTTGGGGATAAATATGCACTAGACAAGATATTAGGCAAAGAATCCAGAATCCCGTCTGGCAGATTGGCTGGGAAGAATAGTTTGCAAAGCACTTGTCCATTAATGATGTTAAGCTCACTAAGAAAGTAAAACAAACTCTTGCAATTTAAACTTCACCTGAAGAAACAGGATTATAAAACACACTGCAGAAAAAAAGAAACTAGTTTTAACTCAAATAAATACACTGTCAGTTGCAAATCTTGGAAAGCCATGGTTCATAAAAAGTGAAATAAACATTGCCTGCAGACTGTTTTTGGAAATAAAAATAACCATTATGCTGCCATTCTTTCAACATACAGAAGAAGTAAATGATTGACTCACTATTTATGTATATAACTGTCAGATACATCTTAGCAGTACATTTACTAAATAAACTTATCCCCGCAGCAATCTGATTCACACAAACATAATGCCAGGCCCCTTGTTTGCTTCACAAACACATTTGTAACTGTGCTTCACAACAAACCAACCAATAACATTATGTTAGTGCAAGTTATCATTACAGGGATAGGAGGCAGATAATTGATAAAGCGAGAGCTGTAATCTCATCATCACTGAAATAGCACGGTCTTGTTTGTATAAGTGACAGCAAGTGTTAGCAGCTAATAAGCATGGTGAAGTTAATTTTAAATAGCACAGCAGAATGTTTCCACAGAGTTATTTGAGATGTGGAAATAGCTGCTGCAATAGATGCCCAATTTGGAGAAAAGTAGTTCCCAAAACACAAGCTTAAAGTACAGGCACACTCAGAACTGACATGGCCAAGTTACTGAATGATGAGTGCCGCACGTGGTCAATATACCAAGGTAAACGTGACACAATGCCAGGAACAGCAGTGCAAGTGTGAGAATCTAGTGCAGAGCATTTCACACTTTTCTTGTTGGTGAGATATTTTACAGAGAAGGATAATTCTGCAACACAGGAATTCAGTCTACTAGCAAACCAGAGGTTAAACTAACCCATTAAAAAGAGAGTGACATAAACAAAAATTCAGGTAAAAATTTACTGAATGTGTAAGAGGCTTTGATTAATTAGTGAATAATCAAAGCTTGTGGTCGATATAAAAACAAGTCAGAAATGTTAATACAGCTTGAAACTGCCTATTCTGTTTACAACACTTATGTTTGCTGACACACCTTCAGACTGCAGTTGACACATAAATGTAACAGGACACATAGTTTTCACAGCTCTGGTCTAGACTTCACATGTCACTGATGAATCTTGGAATCCCTTAGATTCTGCTCACATTAACACATATTCTTTTTTTAAAGAAAGCCAAACACATTTTTCTGCTGAGATATACTGGAAATATGGTGCTGGCCCCATATATGTACAGATCAATCAACACTTGACGGGTGACATGGTCGGTACTATGCTAGACAATTCCATATGACTACAATCTAACAGAATATTTTCTACGATGTTTCAATCAGTTATTTCAACTACTTCTATCCCACAGAGGAATCATGGGAGCAACAGAATCAAAAAGGCTAAAAAGAGTCTTGAAAGAAACTAATTCACAAAACGGACAGGTTACATGCACCAGAAGAAGGCAACCTGCTTGTTTGAGAATGTCAAGAGAAGGGTCAGAGAGGCAGAGGACCTACAGACAAGATGTCGACAAGTTTGGCATTATGACATAAAGGGTCATTACTGGCTCACATGACAGAAATGATGATGAACAATGCCATATGGCATAGACTTTAAGAAACAAAATCCTAACAAGTGGTACTTTAAAGTAATGATTGTGAGTCTGAATGAACTGAATTAATACAATGTGAAAGGCAAATTAGGAAATGAGCAATGCTGAGTAACCCCTTCTGAGAAGCTAAAAACCCACATTTTGGGTTGGCTCTGGTTCCCAGTAAATGTCACTTTTCCAACTTGTCTACACTGATGTGTACAAAATGCATAGTTACTGCTATTGACTGTATTCCTTAGGAGGTTAGGATATGAATACATTAACTAACAATATCATCTGGAGGGGGTTTCTTTCAGCTAAATTGTTTTCTGAAACCGAAGTTGACTGCAGAGTTTCCCGTAAGGTTCAGTGATGGAGGTCATGGGGTCATGCATGAGTCACCTAATGTATTCAATGAAATGCTTGACCTGTTAGTGTTTAGTGTTTACTACATTCATATACATTTGAGCGTGTGTATATATATATATATTTTTTTTTTATTATTGCAGATAAATATTTTTTATGAATATTAGTAGTGGCTTAGGTAAAGCTTTTTTTTTTATTACTGTTTTTTTCTCTGTGGAAATCGCAATCTTGTTGCGTTTTCCGCACGTCCCAAAACGTTAGAATGGACACTACAGAAATCAGGACCCT